ATGGCATCCTCTATGTGTTAAGCATTGTGTTCGATGCCAGCCATTCAGAAAGGGAGTATAGTGCCCACCTTTGAGGAGCTTACCAAGGAAAAAGAAGACAAAACTGGAGTGTATGGAATACTATACGAAAGGTTACAAAATACTATGACTAGAACATAGAGAAGTAGGGATGATCAACTGGGTAAGGATGTTTCCTTCATGAGATAGAAGGAAATATGTGTAAAGGCAATGAAGTACTATAGGAAAAAAAAATAAGTCTTTGAACACAAAAATAGGCATGAAAAGGAGTTTAGGCTGATAATGGGAAAATAATAGGCGTTTACAGGTTACTTTTTTAAAATAATATGATCAGAGTTGCACTTTACGGAGTCCTTTGGTTGCAAAGTGGAGAACCTAATGGGTAAAATCCAGTTTCCTAAGAGGTGGCCCTAAGTGTAAAGGTTAGTCTAACAGACCACATAGAGTTTGGATATGTTCATTTGAGTCCTCAGGATCTTAAGTAAAAAGAAAGATGACTGCTGTGTTAAAAATAGAACTGAAGGTGTCATAGAAAAAACAGGGAGATTAGTTAGAAGGCTGCTACAGGAGTCCAGATCTGGGATAATGCTGGCTTGGATTAGAGTAATTGTGGAGATAGTAGAAGTAGTCATTTCAGGGCTATGTTTTTGCAGATCTTGCTGATGGACTGGATGAGTCAAGGATAACTCCCAGATTTCTGGCTTGAGCACTCAGTAATCCAGTGGATGGTGGTGCCATTTACTGAGACGAGAACCAATTTTGGAGGATCTACTTCATAAACATATTTTGTTACTTTACATGCTTAGTGCAGCTTTCATGTGGCAGGATTGGAATTCAAACACAGGTAAGGCTCACCAGTGTTCTTAATACTATAGAGTGCTGTATAGCTTGTTCTGGGAATTGACATGGAAAGAGAATGAAGCAAGAGCCAAACCAAAGTGTTGTAGGTCCAAAACTAAGAAACTTGATTTATAGTCGAAGAGTGAACCAAAAGACTCTGGAGGGTTTTAAGCAGGGGGTGATTTGTCAGATTACAGTGCAAAAAGATCAGTCTGGCTATTGTGTGTAGAAGGACAAAGAGGGAGGTGGGAAGAAATTTCATCAGTCCAGGCAGGATGGTGACTGGGAAAAGGTTGGGTGACAGTGGTAGTTAGATAAGAGTAGGCATTTGGGGAACACATTTGCAAGATACGATGGTCGTGGGTGGGTGGGAGTGGAAAAGGGCATAGAGGGGAATAAATGATCTTGGAAAAGAATAAAAAATATAAAAAAGAGTGAGGGTCGTGCGGAGACTTGTACAAATGTGGGACAATCACAATCTGTGACATCGGCGGGAAAGGACAATACAATCCACATCTGATTCCAGGACCTTCCATGGGGTCCTTCAGTTCAGTTTGAAGCACTCCCGGAAATTCACCACCATACCTGTGTGGGGAGCGGTGAGAGGGACGGGTTGAGGGCAAAACGCCGCAGTGAGGAGGGCGGCTTGGTGCAACACTAAGGAGAACCCCATCCTGAACGAGCGGGGACTGAAGGAGGAGGGCAGGGGGCGAGCCTCGGCTGCGGTGCTGACTGTGGTGGTGCCGTGGCGTCCCAGAGCCCGACGCAGCTGAGGGGTGAAGCGGAGCCTCGAATTCCTCACTCCCGGCACAGCCCCGCCCCAGTTACCTGAAAGCCCTAGGCCAATGACTGGGGGCCGGGGAGCAAGGACCTCCCACTTCGAGCGACCACAGCTTCCTCCCCCTTCCAGAACTTCCGGCCGGAAGTAGTTCGTCCCCGTTAGCGGTCCCCTCTACATCTACTAGCTATTCCTACGGGCCCGCCCCTACAGCTGGGGTTGGGCTGCTGCGCTTGCGCGAGGGGTGCACGCAGGCACTGCGGCGGCCGCTTCCGGTGCGCCGCGAGGGCCGCCGGGACGGGTCTCCCAGGCGATCCGAGGTTACTGTTGCTGCTACCGCTGCTGCTGCTCCAGCTACCGCTGCTGCCGCCCCCAGCGCCGAGCCGGTGCCGCGGCGACGCCCGCGTTTCTGCCGTCTTCCCCGGGCCCTCTGCAGGCGTCGCGGAAGACCCTGCGGAGTGACCTGTGCTCCCACACCCGCCTCAGATCACCTACCGCGACCCAGAGGAGGAGGAGGAGGAGGAGCAGCAAGAGGGGCTGTCGCGACTCCGCGTCGTGTGTCGCCGGGCGGGGCCGCGGGTCCTGGGCTCCTCCAGCCCCCGGGATGCGCGCGCGAGCCCTCGCCTCCACTTCCTTGTTGCCACTGTCACGACTGGAGCCGCCTCTCGCCGGCAGCGGGGAGCGCGAGGGCGCGGGCCAGCCCGCTCGTCGAGCCCCCGGGCCGGGCGCCTCCGGGAATGTGAGCCGCGCGGTGTCCACGCTCCTCGGGGTAAGTCCCGCCCTTGAGCGCCACGCCGCTCCGCGCCGCGACCGGCTAGGGCTAGGCGACCTGGAGCGAGCTGGGCTGGGAGGCTCCCGAGCCCCCGTTGCCTTCTGCAGGGTAGGAGCCGTGAACCGTAGTCTCCCCCCGCATACGTATTCGGCACCTTTGAGGTTTGTGGGACCCAGGGAGGGAAAGAAACTCATCCAGAGTCCAACCATGGTCCATGGCTGAGCCGTCCACGCTGTCGCATGAGGTTGGGAGGAAAATAGGATGGGACAGGGGAAGTGTCTCGCAGGGGATTGCTAGCACTGCCCGTAACTCTGCTTTGCAGGTGAGAAAACTTATGACTTAGAGTAGATTGCCCAAGGTCACAGAGCTCTGCGGGCGCTGTTAAAATCTGTAACTTAATTTAGAATCCCGTTTTTCTGCCCTTCAGAGCCCTGGTTTTAACCTTTATATGCCTTTTTTTCTTTTTTTTTTTTTTTTTTTTCTTTTTGGCGGGGGGAAGGGGCATTGCTGTACTGAGGCCTAGGATCTGAAGGCAATTGTAGACCCAGGCTCTGGGTGCCAAAACCCTATGTGCTCTCTTGCAATTATTGCTTTTCTCTGCAAGACTCTGAAGGGCTGAGAAATCAGTTCTTAAGGGCAAAAAAGTACAGTACTCACATGGCCTTAAATTGAACTCTAGCTTCCCTTGCCCACTGAAGGCACTGGCCTCTTACCCAGCCAAATTGTGGGTTATGTTCTCTGACAGAGTTGCACTATGACAGACAGTATGTGGGGGTGGGTGGGGGTGTTTTACAATGGGAAGGGAAATAATTTTAGAGATGACACAGAACTAAAAATAACTTTGGAAATAGAATACTGTGTTCTTATCCTAGAGTATATATTTAAAATTCTAGGTGAATTTTTTTTTTTTTGTCTGTATTTTCTACGAAAGGTGTTTTAGCTTTCACAGCATCCTCCAAGGGATTCTTGCCTCCCAAAAAGTTGGGAGTCACTGATTCCAGTCTCTTTGTCTCATGTGAGGAACAAACTGAAATTTACGGCTTGTCAGGGATGACATGGTGAGAGCATTAGACTGGGATCCAGGTCTCCTGACTCAACGTGCTGTGCTGTCTTTCTCATTATACCCCATATGATACCTTACCATCTGTGTAGTGAAGTCTGAGATGTGAGTGAGCTTTGTAATACACAGGTCACCCCTGGGTTTACTACTGCAACTCCTTCCCAGAATCCTAAATTCTCTCCAAAAACTGACAAGATTTTTAGGAGCAAGCATGTTATTTCATTCTCATAAAATTCACTTGGTTTTTAGGAACCTTTCTGCCTTCAAGGATTGCGTCTCAACTTAAAATGTAGCCACAACTAACTTATTCAGCTGTATGCCTTTCTCTAACTAGGAAAAGCTGTTATCGATTTTTCTGTTTCTTAGACCAGTGGCAGAGAGCTAATGTTGGTCTGGCAAATTGCTGTTTACACCTGTGCTACTCAGTGCCGCAGCTACTGGCCATATGTAGCTATTTAAGTTCATTACAATTAAACAAGATTAATTCCTTAATCACACCAGCCATATTTTCGGATGATCATTAGCCATAAGTGCTATCATATTGGAGAACACAAATAATAGGACATTTCTGTCATCACAGAATGTTTATTGACCTCTACTGGTTTAGAGAGTTGCCAGTGGAGTTGGGGAGCAGTGTAGTATAATGAAAAGCCTAGATAATTGGTTTTTTTAATTAGGGGGAGGGGGAAATCTGTAATGCAAGTCCTATTTGCTGTGGTGGCCTTGGGGAGGTCATTAGCACCTCAGCCAAAGATTATTCTTCTATTTTGTAAAGCAATCGACTATTCTCAGATAGGATTGTTGCTATGATGTCCTTGAGTCCTGCCAGTAAAAATCTGTAGTAAGATGGGTGAGGCTTCTTTTTTTTTTATCCATAAGAAAACTGAACCTGCAGCTAAAGGACCTGCCCGAAGTCACACAAGTTGGCAGAGTGTAAAGAAATCTCTCATGCCAAAACCGGTTTGGCTCAGTGGACAGAGCGTCAGCCTGCGGACTGAAAGGTCCCAAGTTCGGGCACATCCCCAGCTGATTGATGTTTCTCTCTCATCGATGTTTCAAACTATCTCCCTTCCTCTCTGTAAAAATCAATAAAATATATATTTTTTTAAAAGAAATCTCTTACTTACTACATGTCTGAATGAATGAGTGAATTAAGCAGTTTGCTTAAGCTGATGAAGGATGAGGAAGGGAACTTCTGGGATTCTTATAATGTGGCACTGAAATCTTTGAGCCAAAGGATTACTGTGAGTAACCTCTCAGTGAAAGGGCTAAATTAGTGTTCCCACATTTGTCGGGTCAAAGGAATCACCTAGGGCACTCATTAAGCACGTAAATTTTCACACCCTCTGGAAAATCTGATTCAGAAGGCCAGGGGGAATCCTGAAATCTGTGTCTAATAAGTACCCCTCAGGAATTTCTTAGGAGTGCTGAGTTTGGGAATGACAGCCTTAGGCATGGGAGAGATAAGGAGCTATTTGCTGTTCCCTTTAAGGTGGATTCTTGAAACATTTGTGTTTGACTCTCTTCTAGCCATGGACGCATCATATGATGGTACTGAGGTAACTGTTGTGATGGAGGAAATTGAGGAATCCTACTGTTACACTTCCCCTGGGCCACCCAAGAAGAAGAAAAAGTATAAAATACATGGAGAAAAAGCCAAGAAACCCAGGTTAGTCAACATGTTTTGGTGGCTGACATTTATCAACAGTAGCTGCTTGGAGAGCTATACTGAGGAAGACTTTAAAGCTGCACCAATATTTTCTGAGCGTGTCATGTCAGTAGAAGTCTCTAGATGGGCATTGGTGATGAGAGGAGATGGGGAGTGGTAAGTGGGAGATTGATGCTAGTAGTTGCCATTCCTGGCTAGATTTTGGTCATGTTTCCTGGCTGTCAGAAGAAGTTGTACCATACCAATGGTGGAAGCTGTGCACAGCAGATCCTCAAATAACATCAGTTTTTTCAATGTTGTTTCATTATACCACTGATGGGATGCTATAGGGACTTAACTCTTGTTTATATCAACTAGCCTCTGATAAAATTGGTTTCATTATACATTGTTTTGCCACAATTCCAAGAACCTGTCAGTGTTCTTGGGAAGATTTACTGTACAAAATAACTATGTTATTATTACCATTATTAGTATTTAAATATTTTTAGAATAAAACATTAATAAAAACGTGGTATTATAAATAGTACCAATATACCTATAAAGACTTTTCAAATTATAGCTCTGTTCTCCTTCTTAATTGTGAATACTTGCTGCATTGGGTCACTTTGATAATTCTACTTGCTGCCCTCTCTCAGCCTGAGATGACCAAAGGCTGTGAGTGGTGATCCGACTATGTAATCAGCCCCCTCGCTAACCTTCCTGAGAGTGGAATGACAGGGCATCTGTGCCTGTCTTTGCTCATATTGGGTTTTAAAGCCACTCATTCCTGCAGAAAAAGAGGTCCATGGAAGTAAACCAAACACGCCTTTGCTTCCTGGTTTCTAAAGCGAAAAACCTCTGATGTACCATCTAGGGATCTTATTTAAATGTTTCTTTGCTCCAGTTCTTATTTAGTTAAATGTTTCAAAATGAAATACTGAGTTTTGTGTCTACCTCTTCATTATTAAACTCTAACATTGTAGTATTTACTACTTAATGAGGGAAAACCTTAAGAAATCATTACTTCCTCAGGTCGGCTTACCTCCTGTACTATTATGACATCTACCTGAAAGTTCAGCAGGAGCTGCCCCACCTCCCACAGTCTGAGATCAATAAGAAGATTAGCGAGAGTTGGAGGCTTCTCAGTGTGGCTGAAAGGAGTTACTACTTGGAGAAAGCCAAACTGGAGAAAGAAGGTTTGGATCCTGTAAGTAATTTTTTCCCAACTAATTTCTCCATTGGTTCAGTGGTGAAAGCCTACGGGAGATCAACCTCTGTTCTCCTGTTTCCTTTTCTTGGGAAAACTTTGAGTCATTTTTCTTTCTTTTGTCTGATATTGCCTGCTTTACTTTAGACGATACTATGTACTCTTTTGTCCTCTGGTTGCAGCAATACACGGAGATGGCACTTTCTGAGTTATCTGCAGTGAGCCTTAGGTTCTTTCTGAATTTTAACATATCTTGGAGCCCCTTTATTCTGTGGGTTGTAAATATTTTCCTTTATACAGGGCAAAGGTAGGTTTACAGTTGGTATGGAAAAATACACATGAATGAACTCTGTTTCATGTACTTAGGACAGTAAATCTACTTTTGCCCACCCCCCTGTAGGCATTTCTCCTACATCATAAATGGTCATATTATAAATTGAACGTAATATAATTAATTTGTTCTGATGATTACAGTCAGTTATAATGATCAGCAGTTGAACTCTGTTTGGAGACAGGTTTAGTTGCTTTGTATAATATCACCACTGATGGCTGTGAACTTTGCTAGAAGCAGAAATGCAAGGTTAAAGCAGAAGATGATGGAGGAGCTGAAGGTTTGAGTGCATGGATTAAAGAATAAGCAAGGAAGCATTTGGGTTTGCGTCCCTCAGCCATTTTGTTATTCTAGTTCACAACAAAATTAGCTGACAACTGTTAACACTGCTTTGTTTTTTTTAAATTAAAATACCTTAAGGAAAATAACCTTGTTACTGCATGCTGAAACCTTTTAACCTTAACTCCATTTTTTAAATGAAAACAAGTGTCTTTAACTTATTTTTTTAATAATATAAAGCAAAGGTTCCCCAGGAATGCAACTCTTTGGCAGAACAGGCTGTTTTTCCCTTTGTGGAGCCCATTGCCACTGCCAATTAGATATTCTGTTCTTATTGTTATTGGCGTGGCATTTCTCTTCTAGGAGCAGCTTTGTGTTACCTACTGTATTAGAGATGTCACTGTGTACTTCCTCCTCCAGATAATTTGTTTATAAACTCTGAATCTGGGAAACAATCACTGAGGGAGGGTAAGGAAGGGAAGGAAGTGGAGTCTAGAAGAAGTACACATACTCCCTTTGGTTTAGCCATTATAAAGTCTTTTTGCCCATGATACCAAAAAAATTCCACCTAATCTGTAGTGGTGTTTTTTGTTGTTGTTAATTCTCACTTGAGAATATTTTTTTCTATTGCTTTCCAGAGAGAGTGGAAGTGAGGGAGGGAGGGAGGGAGGGAAAGAGGGAAGAAGGAAGAGAGAGTGACATCAATGTGAAAGAGACATATCAGCTGGCTGCCTCCTGCATATATCCCCACATGGGACTGAGAACGAACCTGCAACCCAGGTATATGCCCTTGACCGGGAGTTGAACCTGAGACCTTTTGGTGCTCAGGCCGGTGCTCTATTCACTGAACCACACCAGCCAGGAGTGGAGTAGAGATATGATTCTTAAAAAGACATTACTATAGGTCTTATTAAGACTTTAAAAAAATAAAATAAATCCTCTGCAATGATTCTTTGTTATCCATTTTTAATTTATATCTACCATTATTTTACCTCTGCCACCAGAACATGAATAGATTAGCTCTGATACTAGCTGTGACCTTGGAAGAACCACTTAACCTTTGAGTTTTGGTTTTCTAATTTGTAAAATGAAGATAATTGTATCGACTCACAATATTTAAAATAAGATAATGGTCATCAGTATCTTAGCGCATACTGACTTGGTCAATAAATATCACTCTTTAGTAGATTAAATGTTCAGTGACCATATAATAAAAAAAGGTGGCATTTAATGAGCATCTGGACTATGCCAAGATTGGGTGAGGCTTTATGTCAGGGGTTGGGAACCTTTTTTCAGTGAAGGGCCATTTGGATATTTATTTTATTCATGGGCTATACAGAATTATCACCTTGAAAATTAGCCTGCTCTATTTGGGCAAACATTTAATTAACTCACCCCTAATGCCTTGGCAGGGCCAGTCCAAATGATTTTGAGAGCTTTATAAGGCCCACGGGCCAGACATTCCCCACCCCTGCTTTACATTGCCTGGTGTGAGGTTGAGACCCTCTGTCTGCATACTTTGGAAGTCTAGCAGAGTACTTGTGGTATGCTGTCTCCTCAGCAGCCCCTCGGGTCTCCTGCCAAGGAGTAGAGCCCATAATTCCAGTGTTGGTAAGATAAATGTCTTTCAGGCCAGTGGTTGCCAGCTGGTGGTCCAAAAGGTTGGTGACGGCTGATTTAGGCCATCCTGATTTCTCTATCCTTGAATCTGTTGATTAAGTCCAGACCATCCTGTGCATTTGTCACTAGTTAGTTTTGTTCTCCTGACCTGTCTGCTTCAAAGGATGACTTGAGAATATCATTTCTCCATTACCTCTTCAGTAAAGGTTCATAAAGGATTCGATCTGTCTGCTTTCCTGTTTCATCTGAGTGCTTCCTTTGTACCTTCAGTAGACTCATTGACTTTAATGCTTTTGATTTTAAGATCCTTTTGTAATTGACTTAGTGTTTCTTTTAAAGAATGCTTCTGAAATATTTTTTGTTCCATTTCAGTTCTCACTTAACTGTTCACTTTGAACTTTTCTATTTTTCTTATTGGGTAACTTTCAGCTTAAATTGAAAGAAGGGGAAAAACACACACAAAAGCACCTTTTTCTTGGTGCCAAGTAGTCATGCAGGGTTGTGCTGCTAGTACCTGGTTTCCCTTCGTGAAGCCTGCCTGCCACTGCCATTTAGATATTTTGTCCTTGTTGGCTTGGCATTCCTCTTCCAGGAACAGCTTAGTGTTACCTACAGTATTGGAGATGCCACTGTGTGCTCCCTCCTCCAGATAATTTGCTTATAAACTGTGAGTCTGGGAAACAGTCCTTGTAGGGGGAGAGGAAGCAGAACACTTCAGTAGACCTGGCCTGGAGCCCCAGCTTTTTACTTACTAGTTTTGTGTTTTGGGAAAGGGTACCTCCTTGAGCTTCAATTCCTTCATTGCTGCGTGGGAATAATAATAGAATCTAACTTGTTAATGGTGTGTTTTTTTTTGGTTAGGAAATTATTTTCTAAATTTTAAGATCCTAGGTCAGTGTTAGTGTTTGTATCCTTTCTCCCACCCCAATATATTTAGGCCCTTGTCAGATAACCCCTCCAAGGGCACATTCTCTCAGGATGCCTCTTAGCTCCGTGATCTCTCCATCCTTTTCTTTGTAATCTGGGAGAAACCAGCAGTGTTTGAACTCTTACTGCCTTGAGTTCCAACTAGGCCTTGACTTGTAATTTAGGCTTTTTGCTCTTTTATTGCACATAATACATTTTGTTGTTTAAATTTTCTGCTACTATGGAATCCTAAAGTATCAGAGCTGGAAAGGAACTCACAAGTAGCTAGATTCAGATCCCTCGTTTTACAATTTGGGCAGATAGTCCAAAAAGGGGGACCGGATTGGCTCGAGATTATGCCACACCTGGGTTCCCATTCACAGTTTTGGATGCCAAGATCAATGCCCTTTGCAGAGTGTAATCCGTGTTCTCAGTCTTCTGTGTGAATGAGCAAGGGAAAGTGTGATTCAAGGGAAGACGTCATTGCTGTTACAGAGGCTGAACCTATTTAGATCTTAAGTCAAGAGAGTAGAGTCTTTCTGGTCCCTTTTGCAAGGAGAAAAAAAAGTTCAAATATATATATAATCTCCATGTTACTTTACTCAATTTATCTTTGCTTGTCTCCCTTTTCTGGCCTCCTCATTTTCAGAACTCTAAGCTCTCTACATTGACTGCTGTGGTTCCGGACATCCCAGGTTTCCGCAAGATCCTACCCCGCTCGGATTACATCATCATCCCCAAGAGCAGCCTGCAGGAGGACCGGAGCTGCCCTCAGCTGGAACTGTGTGTGGCCCAGAACCAGGTGTCCTCTAAAGGACCATCTCTTGTATCCAACACAGCCTTGGAGACAGTGCCTAGCCATGCAGGCATGGCAGAGCAGTGCATGGCTGTGGAGGCCCTAGCTGAGGAGGTGGGAGCCCTTGCCCAGCCGGGTGCTGTACAGGAGATCACCACCTCGGAGATCCTCAGCCAGGATGTGCTCCTGGAGGAGGCTTCCCTGGAGGTAGGGGAGAGCCCCCAGCCTTACCAGACAAGCCTGGTAATTGAAGAGACCTTAGTGAATGGCTCACCAGACCTCCCCACCAGAAGCCTGGCTGTGCCTCAGCCCCAGGTGGGGGAGAGCATGTCCGTGGTAACAGTCATGAGGGTAAGTGGCTTTGGTACTGATGTCTTTTACTTCCTCAAGAATTACTAACAGGCAGCCAGCACCATGCATTTGGAGCTGTGACAATGGAGAAAGCTGCTGACTGGGCACCTCCAGTGGGACCGCAGTCCTCTTGAACCTTCTTGCCCCTCGGCTTGCTCCAAGTTGTTTCCTGTTTCTCAGGCATCTTGCTAGCTCCTCTTGCCTAGATAGGAGGAACTTTCCTCATACGAGGCAGTATGTAATACGTTACCAGGAAGGAGGAAATGGTATGTGGGCTACCATGAGGGAAAGCCAGAATCTGTCAGGTATTAGTATCAGTCAGGATTTTATGTTTCCTGAAGATTGTTTCAACAAACAAAGTGGCACCTTGAACTATGTAGGAGAATTTTCAAATGGTTTTCATGGGTACTGGGTAGGTAGAAAGAAGGAAGTTATCTTCGGGTTGATGGAAGAAGAGGCAAGTCTCTGTACAGAGCTTACATGTCACACCCAAGTGAGGGGAAAGAGCAGTTTCAGTGATCCCACAGCCTGACCCCTTAAGTAGGAAGATGCCACCATGCCCTTTATTACACTTGGTAGGATGGTATCCTCAGAGGTAGGACCAGCATGCTGTAGCCCTCTGGCCTGTAAAGATGAGAGCAGGTACCTCTGCAGGAGAATCCATGCCAGGCCTGAATCCATTTTATTGTTTGTTGCCTCAGTGTTGCTTATGATAACGAAGCATGCCACGGGCTGGATAAAGACACTGGATAGGGTCAGAAGGGTTGGGTTCTTTCACTAACTGCTTACGTGATCTTCGGAATTCTAAGTCTGAGATCCTCGGTTTTTTATCTGTAAAATGAGGATAGTACATTCCCTGTAGCAATGTTTCTTTTCTACTTTTATTTGCTCTTAAGTAAACTTCTTATCTTGAGACAATTGTAGATTCTTTACTTTTTTAAATAAGTACTCGATCTGATCTTGGTGTTGGGGAAGGTCCTCGGTGTACTTCACTCTGTCTCTCTCCTTGTGCCCACAGGATTCCAGTGAGAGCAGCTCCTCTGCGCCAGCCACACAGTTCATCATGCTGCCTCTTCCTGCCTACTCGGTTGTGGAAAATCCCACCTCTATCAAACTGGTCAGTGTGTGGGGAATTGATGGGGACTAGACCTCCGCGTAACAATTCTCTTCCAAGTGAAGCTTTGAGGCAATGTAAATATCCTGTTTTTCTCCAAGCTTTCTCCAAGTGGTTTCCTAAAAGTCTTAGACCTCCGGACACTGGGACTGGCCAAGTTCTCAAAGATTGTCTGGTCATTCAGTGTGTCAGTGACAAGGCTTCCGTCCACAGCTTGGTCTTTTTTTCCTGGTGCCACGCCACTTCACACTCATTCTTGCCCTGTTACCATTATCATAATCACCTTTCCCTAGGTTTTCCTGGAAGAAATAGCCTCATGGCAGCTGGTGTTTTCTCAAGGGAGGTTATTGGGGGGTTTTTTTTGCCAGGCTTGGGAAGCTGGGCTTGATAGCTGAGTACACATTCATTAGTGACAGAGCAAATCTGACAGGGAATGTTTTCTTTCCAGCATTCACCTAGAAATGGTTTCTGGCTAATTTCTACTTGTAACTGCAGTGTAACAACCCATTGTAATAGAGTCTGTTCAAAGGGAAATCAGCAGGGATGGTGAGAGCCAGTGGCTGGGTATATTCATATGCAAATAAAATTGACCCTTGAACAACAAAGTTGACCATTTGTATAGTTGAAAATCTGAGTATAAAACTCAAACAAGTCTGCCTTCTGCATACTTGGATGGCCAACCAAGTATAAAAAATAGTACTTAAATTCTGGTTTCTACTGGAGTTCCCTCTCATTTTTTAGTGACCATGGTCTACTTTTTTATCTCTGAACCCTAGGTTCTATTTTTTTACTAATAAAGAATGAAGATGAAGCACATTCTTTGAAGTATTCAGAGCCATAGGGTGCATGTGGGTGCATGGAAATCTTGGACCAAGAATTAGAGAGATCTGGTTTCTAGGTCTACCTCTGCCCTTGAGTTACTACTGTTTGAGGCAAAGCATTTAATCGCTCTGAACCTCAGTAGTAGTAAACTTCAGAGCATTGCTAAGAGCATTAAATGAGATACTATGTAAAGTGTTCAGCACTGTGTGATTTTCTGCTCAATTAATAGCAACCACTCTTATCACAAAAAAAATTATAATTATGTGTACTCATGGGTATTAACTAGATTTATTGTGGTGATTGTTATGCAATGTATACAAATATTATGTTGGGCATCTGAAACTAATGTTATGTGTCAGTTATGTATCAATTTAAAAAATAGCTATTACGATCTTTATTTTTCTGGTGCCTAACTATAACCTTGGGCAGCTCTCTTTTCTCATTTGAACTCATTTCCTCCATTTCTAAAAAGTGCACTAGTTGTAGCTAGTCAGACCCTTCCAACTCCAACCTTTTATACCATGAACTAGAACCCCATGCACAAAATTTGTGTAAGAGTAGGCCTTCCTTCCCCTGGCTGCTGGCACTGGCTTCCTTCTGGTACCTGGGATCCTGGCTTCGTCTGGAAGGTCAACTGGAAGGAAGTCTGGTCTAATTAAGCATATTATGCTTTTATTATTATAGATTGTCTATCCATTTACAAGCTGGTATCCTGCTGGCATTGTGATAATGGTCATCAGGATCTGAGAAATGTTAGACTGGTGTTGATTCTAACCTCTCCCCCCCTTTTCTTTTTAATTTTTACAGACCACTACATACACCCGCCGAGGCCATGGGACATGCACTAGCCCAGGTTGCTCCTTTACATATGTCACAAGGCACAAACCACCTAAGTGCCCTACGTGTGGTAACTTCCTAGGAGGGAAGTGGATCCCAAAGGTAAAATCTATTGGCCATTGCTGATTTGGAAGTCCACAAAGTAGATTTTCCTTCAGAACAGATAACTTTAAAAATTAATGCTTATTTTCATTTTCTGACCATACAAGTAAGTCAGTTTCATTGTAGACTATTTTAAAAAGAAAGAATAAAATATTACCCATAATCTATGCCATCCAAAGAAAATCTATTATTAGTTAATATTTTGGTCTTTTTTTGTGTGTTAATAGACAAGTTCTGTATCTTGCCTTTTTTCATTTAATATATCATGTCTTTAAATATTCTTCAAAAATGTAATGGTTTTATAATTTCCCATGGATGACTCTCCCATGTTAATTTATTCATTTCCTATTAGGATTAAATTTTTAACAGCCCATCCTTTACACTGACTGTTTTGCTATTCAGATGTAGCTCACATTTTCTCACTCCTTAGCTCGAAGTCCTTTCAATCTATGCTCCTATAAAGAGTGGAGGTACTTAACTAATATTCAAGATTTTTCATAGACCAATTTTCCAAATATATACCATCTCTCTAGATAATTGATGCTTAATAAATACATGAGCATCAAAGCTATGCCCCTGTGAAGTTCAATTCAGCACATGTATTTTGTTACCTGTTTTATGCTTGGCACTTAATATATAAATAATACATGCTTATCACATTTTTACATTAGACTGTATATTATTCAGGGCCAAAAAGACTAGAATAGTCAGGATGGTTTTATAGAGGGGATAGTCTAGATAAGTAGAATTTGTGTAGATAGAAGAGGAAAAAGGGTATTGTCTTTGTAAAAATAGTTTAGGCTAGGATTGAGTTTGTAATGTGTTTAATTCAGCATAGTTCAGGTTTACTTACTTGTATAGATAAAATTTATATTGCAGTGTACTTATTAAGTTTATCTGGAGCAATTTCCATACAACATCTCCTTTAAAAATACTGGGATGATGATTTTTGCCCTCTGGCTCTCTGTTGAAGTTCAGGGTAGTATCAATTCCAGGAAACAGAATAGGATAATAATTAGGAAAACAGTTCTGGAGTCAGCTTCCTCAGTTCAAACCCCTGCTTCCCTGGTTTTTAGCTATGCAACCTTGGGCAAGTCATTATATGTTTCTACTCTTGACTTAGGTTTCCTTTCATTTGTAACTATAAGTTAACAATACTACCTAACTCATTAGGGTTGTTGCAGTAGTCCAATGAGATTACTCATGTAAAGTGGATGACACATTCCTGGCATATATTAAATCCTCAGTGAGGCTTCATTCCTGTCCTTGTTGGCAGCAATATAATTGTCTCTATCATTGCTAGTAATTTGATCTTTCAAGGGGCAGGAAGGATCTAGTGCTAGTGTCTCAGGAGATTTTGTCTAGTGTCTTGTGCCTACTTCCGGTGTGCCTCTGAAGCTATCCTGTTTATTCCCACACTAGATAGTCTCCCCAAAATGTACTTCCCCAGTTGCAGTAGGGAGGTTGAGTTGGATAGTATTCAAACCTTCCTTGGCTTCACTCATGCACAGAAGTTCCCTCTGTTGACATTATTTTCTGTGCTTTTGCATGGAACAATCTTATTGACCCTGTGCCCTTCACTTCAGATTATGTTTTTACTCAGCTTTCTTTTCTTTTTCATTTTATGTCTTTTTTCCCATCTTTGATTAAAATAACTTTGTGCCTTGGTTCTCTTTCTGAGCTCAAACTCATGACGTGAAGACAATTTTTTTCTTAGCTACCTCATATTGACTTGCTAAGTCAGAATTTTTTCTCAAAAAATTACTGTGAGTTACTGTGTGAAGAGTAGATTCTGTGATTTCTAAACCTCATAGGAATGAATAAGTGAATACAAAAAGAAAAAGAGTAACATTTTAGCATTAATGTACTTTGAATTTTAGAGTTAAAAGTGACTTTGGTTATCAGTTCAACTCCAGGTTTCCAGCTGAGGGGAAATAGATTCAAGGGAAGTGACTTGTTAAGTTCACTAATTATGCCAGCGCCTTTTCTTCCATTAAACCACACTTTTTAAGCATTGCTAACATTTTTTTAGTTCGGATTTTTTGAAGCAAGTATAAATAGTTTCTAAAAGCTCCAAATACGTCTATGCCAGTCAGGAAATGACTCACCTTTTCTTGTATTGTTCTGGAGCTCATACTGGCTAAAATTAGCCCCAAAAACATGTGGCATGGTTCCCAATGAGGTGGATGGAACAAAGGATGGCGTAGAAGGCCCAGTAGCTCAGTGCTGCACTCCTTGGGGTTCTCTAATTGAGGTTTCTGAGTGGGCAACTGGTAGTATTTGCCTTTCATCTTGAAATAAAGGTGACATCTAAAAAGGGGAGGCTGAGTAAGGAAATCTGATATCACCAACTAGAACTTTAGCTTATTGCTTACGTTATCCAGTTTCCCTGCAAAGGATCTTTGTCTGAAATAGTCTACTTATGTGGGTAGTGTTTTGCTCAAAGATCTCATCTTAGAAGCTTAGTTTAACTTGTCTTCTATTTTTCCGCAGACTTTTCCCTCTTTAGCAGTCAGTAAGCCCTGTATCTTTACTCATCCTCATGGGCTAGTGGGTGTTAGACTCTGAGAATGCTTTATGGAGATTTCTTAAAGGTTGTCTAATTTAAAGTTCTTAGCTAGAGGTGACATGCTGCCTGAGGGGCTTTGGAAGGGTGAGGAGTTTTTGCAAATCAGTGACTAGAAGGTAGTGATAAAATTTAATAACAGCATAGATGCTGGTGGAGCAGGGGTCACCTGAAAGGCTCTCTTGCTGCTGCTGACAAACATTGAGAGCCCAACTCTCTCATTTTATAATTAGAAGCCCGGTGCATGATATTCATGTACTGGGTGGGGGTGTCCTTCAGTCCGGCCTGCGCCCTCTCACAGTCTGCTGGGACCTCTTGCTCCTTACCGCCCGCCTGCTTGCTGCTCCTTACTGCTCCGCTCGCTGCTCCTTAGTGCTTCCATGGAGGCGGGAGAGGCTCCCCCCACTGTCACTGCATTCACCTTCAGCCCAGCTTCTGGCTGAACGGCACTCCCCCTGTGGGAGCGCACTGACCATTAGGGGCAGCTCCTGCATTGAGCATCTGCCCCCTGGTGGTCAGTGCACATCATAGTGAACGCTCCTTCTGTCATTCGGTTAATTTGCATATTAGCCTTTTATTAGGATGGGGAAATGAGGCTTCAGATAAGAGCTTGCCTTGGGCCACTTGTGTAATTAGGAGTAAAGCTGAGCCTAGATGGAACCCAGCTTTTATGTTTCATGTCCTCTAGTTTACAGTGCCTTTCACTACACACATAAAAGAAAGAAACCTTTCTGAGACCTTTCCTGGAGACAAGGACTATTTAAAAAATCTTTAGAGTGTGCATGTATATAGATATAGGGTGGGGCAAAGTAGGTTTCCAATTGTATGTGAATCACAGAGTTTATTCTTCAATTATTTATTATATTACTTTCCATATGAACAACTGCAAACCTACTTTTGCTCCATCCTGTGTATACGTGTGTGTGTGTGTGTGTGTGTGTGTGTGTGTGTGTGTATGCTGATTGCATAAAAGCTAAAGCTCCAAGGAATTTTTAAAAGTAGTTCTATCTAAGATAGAAGCTGGTATTTTTAGTGATTTTGAGTATTTTCTAGCCCATAAATAATAAGTATATGAGTAAAACTGATGCAAGGAGAAGTTTATAGCCTATGTGTAAGTCAGGCTTAATGTTCACCTGAAAGAATCTGGGGGCAAAAGATAGACTTTTTTCCCAACAAAGTTGGAAGCTTCAAGTGTATCTCTTTAGATTGTGAGCACATTGTGATTAACTGAACCTCATAAAGGGACTACCAAGATAAACAAATTAAGACTTCTGGGCTCAATATTGACAGCATAGACATAGAGAAAAGTAGGCTTTGAATAGTCAAAGGTCAAGGTAAAAAATGCCAGTGTTTGTTTGCTGAAACTTAAAGAGGCATGCCAGTAAGAAGTGTGTTAGGAGAAGAGCTTTATCCTAACTCTGGCATTGAATACCGTACTGAAAGGGATCTGGAGTCATAAGACTTAGATTCAGGCCAGTTTCATACTTGGGACCTTACATTAGTTTCTACCTCTCTCTGGCTTCAGCTTCCTTATCTATTGCCCATACATTCTTGTTATGAGGATCAAATGAGAGAATATTTGTGAATGTGCTGTCAGTTGTAAAATGGCATATGTATACAAGGTGTTTTAATTTTTTTTTCTAGGAAAAGCCAGCCAAAGTCAAAGTGGAATTGACTTCTGGCGTCTCCTCCAAAGGCTCTGTGGTTAAAAGAAATCAGCAGCCTGTCCTCACTGAGCAAAATTTTTCTAAGGAAACCACCTCTAAACTGACTCTGGAGAACTCGGAAGCTGTAAGCCAGCTCTTAAGTGTAGCTCCTCCAAGAGAAGTGGGTGAGGAGAATGAGTGGGAAGAAGTGATCATCTCAGATGCCCATGTTTTGGCCAAGGAATCTCCTGGGAATCGTGGTACAGCAGTTACTAAGACGCCAGTGGTCAAGAGTGGTGTGCAGTCTGAGATCTCTCTGAGGACAACTGAGAATGATAGTCCTAGCCCAGACATACCACCACCAGCCGAGGGGACCAGCACTTCCAGCCCACTCCCTGCTTCTAAAAAACTTACAGGGTAAACCACTGTGTTTTTACATGATAGGATTGCCTTTAGACTAACTCATGTTTGTTTTGTCCCATGTCCTTACAGCATTCCTAGGAGGCCACAGAGCCCTTAATGGCTTCTATTTTGGAGGTACAAAAACCAAGGCCTAGAAACATGGAATGATTTGCCTTTCTCCTTATACCCTGCTGTCCATGCCCTGCTGTTAGGTTCCTTATACATCTCTTCCTGTCAGTTTCCCTAAAGCTGTTATCAGGATCTTGCTGGTACAGGCTATAGGCAATATTATAAACAACTATTCAGTCCTGATACTAGATTTGGAAAGAGAAGCTCTATTAAGGCTACCTTATAAAAAGATTCCTGTCATGGTGATCGGAGAATTCAGTTGTTTGTGACTCTGTCCCTGGCTTCCATTTGACCTTGGGTATAGTCACTTCATCTTCTCTGAAAAATCTTGGATTGAGTGTTAAAAAAAAAATCTTATCCTCAGTGGCTGACCATATAGACCAAAAAAGATTGTAGGCCTTGCAGATGGGAGGAAATCCATAAGTGTCAGCTAATTCTCCCCCCCCCCTTCCCTTTTACCTCTTTTAAGGCTTGACTGGATTCTCCATATAGCCCCTTCCTAGAAGGGGTTGTGGTCTTGTAACTGAAAGCCCTTATTTATTCATACAGTGGTTCGAAATGGGGAACATTTTGCCTCCAGGGGACATTGTGGCCCTGTTCAGAGACATTTTTGGTTGTTATAACTGGGTCTCAGGGTAAGGATTACTACTAGTAGCATCTAGCAGGAAGAGGCCAGGAATGCTGCTACTTATCCTACAATACAATAGGATAGCCCCCACAACAAAGAATTTTCTGGCCCATAATATTAATACTGCCCATGTTTAGAAATTCTGATTTATGTTATTATAATTTAAAAAATTTTTATTGTTGAGTGGGAAATATATTCACACGGTTAAACTCAAAAGTTATAAGGAATATATACTGGGGAAAAGGTCACCCTTCTATCCTATCCTCAGTCATCCATTTCCATTTCTCGGAGACAATCAGTATTCTCAACATCCTGAACAATATGTTTTGAGATGGTTCTGTATCCTTAGAGGGTGAAGCTGTGCACTTCAGACCTTTTGTTAGGGCAAGTGAATCACTTTAGCACACGTGGATTGAGGCCTTCTATGGTGCAAGCTCTGCTCAATATGTGAACTACAAAGATGGAAAAAAACACACAACAGACTGTTCTCCTGGGTCTCTACTCTCACATGGGAGATTGATTACAGGCAGATTAGATGTTACATTATTTAGGCACTGTTATTGCACCTTTTTATAATAACCCCACCTTTTTATAATAACCCACCTTTTTATCTTAATAATAGCCCCACGAAGCATTTGTAGTTTTACATATTAGGAACGAGGTTAACTAAAGAGTGAAATTACTTGCCCAAGGCCACACAGCACTTCAAGGTTTTATTTGAACCCTTCTGTCTAAAGCCTGACAGTTTAACCACTAAATTATCCCACCAGTAAAGTGCTATTTAGAGACTGCACTTTTTTTTTCTCTTGGTCCTGAATTTCTAGATTTTCCTTCTTGTTTTCTTCAGAGTCGACCTGATCAACCCCGGTCCCAGAGCTTCAGAGCTTAAAGGCAGAGCACGGGGCAAACCTTCACTACTGGCTGCAGCAAGACCCATGAGAGCCATTCTCCCGGCTCCAGCTAACGTGGGCCGAGGCGGCAGCATGGGACTGCCCAGGGCCAGGCAGGCCTCTTCCCTGAGTGGTAAGGAGTGGGCAGATCCGGAGGAGGGGCTGTAATGGGAAGGGGACAGGAGCGGGTGGGTTGAGAATAGTGATGAGAAACTTAGGGAGACAGAATGCACTTAAGTTACCAGTTTGGCTCCTGGTTGTCCCAGATAAGACTCCCTCTGTGAGGACTTGTGGCCTGAAGCCAAGCACGCTGAAGCAGCTGGGCCAGCCCATCCAACAGCCATCTAACTCTGGTGAGGTGAAGGTAAGACGCATTCCCTTCCCTGAGGAGGAGCTGTTGCTCCAAGGACAGGGGCTCCTTTTAGTGTCCTGAAGACCTGTGCAGAAAGCAGGCCCTCATTCTTATACTGTGGACCTCTGGAAGGCGGTTTAGCATAAATGAGTTACTGCTTTTTAGTTAATTTATTTCCTTGTTTTAAAATAAATGTCTGTTTTGAAACTATCTAGAAATAATTGAAAACTTAGAAAAACACTTGCACGAGTAAAAATTAGCAAAAACACAGCACCCATGTACTCATCACCCAGTCATCTATTGATAACATATTAGTCCATTTGGCTTTATAATGTACTCATGTGTCCTCCCATATATGTGTATGTATAAAATATACATAAGTTATGGCTAAATGGCCTTTTACTTTTTAATGCATATGTTTCCTAAGAATAGGGATATTCTGTTTCTGAAACACTGATACAGTATTCCAGTCCTGTCAGTTTTATTCAATTATGTCCTTTATAGCATGTTTCTATTCGAATACAGGGTCCAGTCTAAGATTAGAAATTGTGTTTAGTTGTCATGTCTCTTTAGCCTCCTTTATAAATTGAATGCATGGTTCTAGAAAATACAGAAAATTCAGGGAAGGCAGAAAGAAAATACGTAAGTCCCTTGAGATTCTGCCACCCAGAACTAACTATTGTTAACAGTCCAGTGTGTACTCCTTTAGCCTTCAAGTCATTTCGGCACTAGTGTATGTGTACTTTTTTAATATAATTTTTTAAACTACAAAAATATAGCTCTTGCTCTGTGTACTGGTTTGTAGTCAGTTCAGTCCAATTTAACAATATATAGTGACTTAAAATTTCCCAGGTGTCAAAATTCCAAGCACATTTATTCAAGCACATTTATTCTTAGATTTATTTTTTAGTTCCTTTGCCATATGTGGCTAGAATAGTAATAATCAAAATTCCCTTAATCAGCATTGTTCACCAGACTGCTTTTTGACCAAGATCCCCAATAGGAAACACATTTTTACATCACAACCACTAAATACGCATATAGCCACACATTAAAAGTTTTATGAAGCATTGCCCTTAATTGTTCGCAGTCACTTAGGTGTTTTCCATTTCTTTTTTCAAAGTGCTAGTTTTAGCTCATTACATTTCACAACCCCTAAGTGGATTCTGGCTTATAGTTTGAAAACCCTGTCATGAACAAAATTAAAACAGGAAAATTGGTCTACCATCTCCCTTGCCATGTGCACTGTTGAGTAACTTCCTTTGTGATAGTTCTGAATTTGCCCCAACAAAAATATCCACTGGCTTTTACTTTGAAAGCTAACCTGCTTGTCGTCCAGGTGTTGTCAGCACTGAAGTGCACCACTTCGTAGATTTCCAGCCCTTAGATTTGTCCCTTTACTTTGTAAACTTCTAGTCTTCTCTGTAAATAGCTTTCTTTGGTTTAAAAAATTGTTATTTGTTAAAATAAGCCCTTAGATTCGTCCCTTTACTTTGTAAACTTCTAGTCTTCTCTGTAAATAGCTTTCTTTGGTTTAAAAAATTGTTATTTGTTAAAATAAGCCCTTTTTCTAGTCTTAAACTTTAAATACATGAAATTGTTTTGTTCTGTAAATCAACTTAATTTCAGTATTACAAAATACTTTCAATTTAGAATGTTTTTTTTAATCTTTTTTAATTACATAAGTAGCATCTACATTCAGTATAGAACATTTGACATTTCATGGATAGTGGTAAAAGGGAAACAATCATGATATTCTCTCACCCTCAGTACTTTAGTGAATAATCCTTCAGATTTCTTTCTATGCCAACATTATTCAACCACATAGCTATTATATACTTTTTTCACTTGATAGTATTTGTAAATCTGATGTATAGTATTCCTAATGTGCAGTGTTAGAAGCTGCACAGAAGAGTGTGGCAGTCTTTTAACCTGCTCATTTGGAGCATGGCTCTGCAAATTTCCTTGGGAACTATTTCCTCAAGCTGTTTTCAGACACAGAACCTCAGGAGTTTGAGGTTCAGACACACTAAATAATTTGTTCTGATCCACAGCTACCAAATGGTTCGGCCAACAGGACGTCTCAGTTGAAAGTTGTAGAAGTCAAGCCTGATATGTTTCCTCCATATAAGTACAGCTGCACTGTCACACTGGTAAGTGCAGCCAGGAGATGGGTTAACCCAGAGGTGGTTTGATTTTGTGGTTTAGGGTGAGTAGAAGTCTGGTGGGTGGGGAGTTAGTGGTAGTCAAGAGTGAAAGGAGGGTCAGGGATAGATCATTGATTCTGAAGCCCTGTCACTAATACAAATAATAGCTCCTGGGCAAATCAGCTAGAATTGTTTTTCCCAGGAGAGATCTATAAAGCTGAGATCAGGGTATTTCACTGAAAGTAGTTGGAGATGAGAATCTAGTTCAGTTTAGCACTCAGCAGTCTTTGGACCTTTTAGCCTCAAAAGTGTGTTCCATATACAACTTTGGGAAATGTATTCTTCCTCCCCAAAATGGAATCACATTCAATCCTAGTATTTCAAAGGGTTTGAAAAGTACTTTAGTAAAACTACTTATTTTGTTTAGCCTGGCATTTCCCACCAAGGTTTTTCCTTTCCCTCTCTTTTATTTTTAACATAACACAGGTTTGTGACTTTGGGGTCATTCTTTTGGAGGGTAAGCATTGTGGAACAGTGGAATAAACACTTGATGTCTAAAATTCCAGTTCAGAAGTGGATCTGGCTCTGCTGCTAGCATGCTCTCTCATCTTAGGCAAGGCTCTTTCCTTCTCTGGTCCTCAGTTTTTATTGTCTCTAACATGCTGCGTTGGTTTCTCTTGCTCTTAACATTCTCTAATTTTGTTGATCTTACAATGTCAACCAGCCAAATACCTTTGATAGGTTCTCTGGCTAAGTTGAATAAGATACATAGCTTTTGATAGAGGAGCTACATTTTTATAAATTCTTACCAGATACCGAGTCGTTTACTCAAAAAAAAGGTGTATTGAGCACCTGCTCTGTGCCAGGCTTTGTACTGGGGATTCAGTAGTAAACAAGACAGCACAGGATGGTAGGTTAGTACTAGTCTGGCCTGATCTTAAAGGAGAATGTGTCTCTTATGCTGAGATCTCGGTTTTCTTTTTCCAAAGGCTTAATTACTACCTCTGCATGCCATGCATGTTCTCATCACCCCATCCCTTTGGCTACAGTTGGCCACTCTGGTTACCATCTGGTGAAAACTGCCCAGGACCGACCCTCTCTTGACTGATTAGACAGCATCTCGTCATAGGAGACTTAATGCTAGAGCTTTTAGTTTCAGTATTTTAGAAATTACAATTTGTATTTAGGAAGGGCTGGAAGTCTTTAGTACACCACAGTCTCTTATACTTCATTAGAACAGGCCTGCTTCATTTTGCTAGTTGCCTGAGCCTTGGAGGCATTCAAATCTCTGACTTTTGAGAGTCAACTCACTTATTTGACAGCAGAAAGAGGACTTGACCAAATTATACAGGCTGTGTTAAGAGTAAATGGGAAACTGCAGAAAAGGGATCTTGCTTTAAGTCTCTTTGGAAATTAGTCGAAATCTGGGTTTGCATTTGCCACTTTCTTCTCTGATTTATTGATAGCTGATCATCCTGGTTCTTGGCTCTATCCAATTTTTGAAGAATTGAACATTGGTCTTACTTTTTTAGGATTTGGGCCTGGCTACATCAAGAGGCCGGGGAAAGTGCAAGAATCCCTCTTGTAGTTATGTCTACACCAACCGGCATAAACCTCGGATTTGCCCCAGTTGTGGTTTTAACCTTGCCAAAGACCGGACTGAGAAAACCACCAAGGCTCTCGTGAGTTCCTTCCCCAAACACATCCCTTGGCCTTGGGTTGGGCTCTGTTAATGAAACTATTTTGGTAGAAATAAAAGGATTCCTTAGTACATGGTAGTACCTAGAGCACCAGAGCGGGAAACTGGTTATAGGTTCTGAACCTGGGCAAGTGCCTTCTCTGCGGACCTCCTTACCATTGCCTGGGTGAGGGGATTGACCGGGTACCTTGATCTCTGAGACTCTCCTGGCCCCGTGAACCAAAGAGAATGGTAACATAGGCCTTAAATAGGATTCAGAAGAAGAGATGGAAAGATTACATTCTTTTAGCTCTGAGGTCTGATAGAGGGCCTGTTACTAGTATTTTAGTAATTAGAGAATGCCTACCCCAAGACTGGATTAGATCGCTGCCTCTTACATTCCTTGCAGAGCTTTGGCTAATCACAGAGCTTTACTTCTAGCAGCCTTGTTAGCAAACCTACTCTCTGAAGTTGAATCAAAGTATATGAGTAATAAAACACGTGGTATCCTTAGGGCTTGCTTTTTATTATTAGAACCAGGGAAAAAAATGGGCTTTTTGAGAGGTCTTGTGAATTTCCATATGTGAGTTTTCTTAAGTGAACAGAAAGTGACAACATCTTTGGCAGCAAATAGAATGACTAGGTTGAGAGTAATTAGAGGAATGTCAACTGATCTGCCTTGCAGGGGAAGGATGACACATGGTCAGGGTCTGAATTGGAGCCTGGCCACTCCACATCTAATCTGGATCTTGCAAAATGGGCAGGATTTGGATGGAAGGGGAAGGCATGCTGTACTCACGGACAAGGTTGAGCAAAAGTGAAGAGACAGAGAGTTGGTGGGTGTTCACTTGGCCAGAAGAGAGGGTGTATGGGGAGGAGTATGAAAATAGCCTTGAAAGGCACGTCAGGGCCCTATCATAGAAGATCTTTAATGCTAGACTGGGCAGGGTGTCTTTTAGTCCTGGGGTCCCAGTGAATGTCCTTGAGTCAGAGAGAGGCCCAGAAGAAGGTTAGGTAAGGAGGGATACATGTATGGATAGAACTGAGAAGTGGGTAGAGTTGCTTCAGGCTTCAAGGTTTCTTGGCATATGGGGAGGGGCTTTTCTAGCAGGCGAGTCTCATCCCCTTGTCTCTAGGTCTGTTTCTGTGCTTGAGGTGGTATTCTGAGGTTATCATCTTTGTGAGAAAGGGAAGTGGAACTAAAATCTGTGAACATTCATGGCTTAGTGGAAAAAAAACATTGGGACTAGGAACCAATAGACCCTGAGCTGGAAGCTTTTGTTTTCCCCATCAATAAAGTAAGGTGGCAAAGTGTATTAGATTTGGGCATTTTATTCTCAGGGCCATGAGCCCTAGAGAAGACTCAGAATTGAGCATCAAGCATGTATTTATAGTATTTTAGTAATTAGAAAATAGCATGTAAATGGCTCCACAGTTTCCATCACATTCTGCTGTTCCACTGGTGCCCTCTGCTGGCAGTGAGCTTTCTTCCCAAATTCTCCCTGTGTTTACTTGTTCCTCTTCATTAGCATCACACCTTGTCTTGACTCCCTTTTTTAATTCATCATGAGACTAGAATCTCCTTTAGGCCAAGTATATCTGTTTCCCTCGTACCTTCTAACCCTGGAGCTTGCATTCACAATACAATAATGTATTGATCAGTAACTATGGGATGGAATTGCATTCTGTGTGGGTAGATGCTCTGAACATTCCTTTCTATAATTATTGGTTTGCAGCATGGAAGTGGGTGTTGGTCTCTAGGTCTTGGATGATGAGGTCACTTAACTTTCCAGGTCACTTAAATTTCCAGGAATTGTCTAGGGACCTCTTGCCAGTTTTTGTCAAATTCCACTCTCATTTATATTCTTCTGTCTTTGATTAGTTGACTACGCCAAGAACCCTCATCTTCAGCCATTCCCTTATCTTCCAGTATCCTTAATTTTAGGAGAAATAAATGTCATTATGGTTTTCCACAACATAAAACATAGGTCAGAAACTTAGGAACTTGGTGTGTATTTCTCTTTGGAACCTCCTGGCAGCCATACATTTCCTATGCAATTTTTCTTGGGCTGTAATTAAGATTGCAACATCTGCCGAGACCGGCTTGGCTCAATGGATAGAGCGTCGGCTTGGGGACTGAAGGGTCCGGGGTTCGATTCCCATCAAGGGCATGTACCTTGGTTGCGGGCATATCCCCAGTAGGGGGTGTGCAAGAGGCAGCTGATCGATGACTCTCTCTCATCGATGTTTTAACTCTATCTCTCTCCCTTCCTCTCTGTACAAAATCAATAAAAATATAAAAGTAAAAAATAAAAAAAAAAGATTGCAACATACATCTTTGGCTGTTCTCATTCCTTTCCACCTTCCAACTGTGGCTCAGAGCCAAAGGATAGTATTCCTGCCAACTTATAGACCAGCCTGTGGTTCAACATAGTAAATACGGGGAACACACACTTCCCAGGGCAACACATTTCTAGTGTTACTCAGCTCTTCGTTCATTCTTTCAGCCATTTCATATACTGAATACCTACTATTGGTCAGGCTTTTGGACCTACAAAGCTGAATAGGACATAGTCCCTTCACTTAAGGAGCTTATGCTCTAGTGCAGGCGAAAGATAAGGAACCAAACTATTAAAGACAGTGAGATGAGTTGTTATAGGATGTAGAGTTAATAGAAAGCTTTTTTTTATTAAACACATAACTTCTATAAAGCAATGTATACTATGTACAGCAACTATAAATTAGTATCTTTTGTGTACTCTGGCCTCATGCAGGTATTGAGACTTAGTAAATAAGCAGGGACCCTATACTCACTTAAGAGGGGAGATAGTAGTTTACCAGCTGTGAGAAGGTGCATTCTGCAATAAAGGAATGGTCTCTGGGAGCACGGAGAAGGGAATATTCAGGCTGCATTGGCACAAGGAACCTAATGAACATTTCAGAACCTTGTTCCTGGAAGCCTCTGATTAGTATATAAAGTCCTCTTATACTTAGAAGCCACAAAGCATTAAAGATAAACTAGAGGCCCCGTTCACGGATTCGTGCACTGGTGGGGTCCCTCCGCCTGGACTGCGCCCTCTGGCAATCCAGGACCCCTTGGGAGATGTCAGAGGCCGGGGCATGGATTCTGCCCGATCTCCACAAACCAGGCCAAGGGACCCTATGCACTTGGCCTCTAGTATGGACATGAGATCTTTGGTTAATTTCTTCCTGGCCTCCCCCTATTTCCTTCCTCTGAGATTCATCAGTCTGTTTCATGTTTACATGCCTGTGCATTGAGCGTCTGCCTCCTGGTGGTCAGTGCATGTCATAGCTACTGGTCAAATGGTCGCTTAGTCTTTTATATATATAGATAGTTACTTTAGTATGGATATTTGTTTATATATGAAAACTACCATTCATAGTATTTTCATTGCATCTCAGGCTTTACTTACAATATCATCTTTACTCTGTACAACTACTCTAGGAGATTATTAGTATTTTGGTCCTCCATTTCACAAGGAAATTAAAGCTTAGAAAGATTAAGTAAGTTGCTTTGGGTCACTCACATACAGTTGTTAAGTAGCATAAGCAGAACTGAAGACCAGGTCTGTTATCCTCCAAATCCCTTACCTGGTGAATGTGAGCTGACACACTTGAAACCTTTACTAAGAGGTGTATTGTGTATAGTCTTCTCATTTTATTGATAGAGAAACTGAGTGCCAAAGGGAGAAAACTCCTGCCATAAGTCACAAGTGAGTTATTAGCTGAGCTGGTTAGGAACCTAGGTTTCTTACCTCTCTGTCATCACCCATCCCTCTGCCACTCACAGCTCTCTTGATGTAGCCCACAGCTGACTCTTCTTGCCCTGGGTGCTTGGTGATCAATCCATTCTCTTCCCAGGAGGCAAGCTCAGCACTCCCAGATGTGCTGAGTGTCACAGAGCCCCTGAGCGCGGCCCAGAGGGAGATCCAACGCCAGTCCACGTTGCAGCTGCTCCGCAAAGTCCTGCAGATTCCTGAGAATGAGTCTGAGCTGACCGAGGTCTTTGCCTTGATTCACGAACTCAACAGCTCTCGACTCATTCTGTCCAGCGTCAGTGAGGAGACAGTCACCATCGAGCAAACCTCTTGGTCAAATTATTATGAGTCTCCATCCACGCAGTGCCTTCTCTGTAGCAGCCCATTATTTAAAGGGGAACAAAAGTAAGCAGCCTTTTCACATTTTCTGCCCCTAACTGCCCCGTCTCACTTGGCCTGTACAACTTTCTTTCCTCAAACAACGTTCAAGCTGTAACCTTTGAATATGTTATTCTCTGTGTTTCTTAGGTTTCCTTTACTTTTCCAATTTTAATTAATAATAATAATTAGTCATCATCTATTATTTTCATTGAAAAATGCCTAAAAGTTATTATCACCAATTTAAGATTTAGTTTACATCTGGACTGCCCAGCATAATGCTTGGATTTGGGAGTTCAGTGGGATTAGTTAAATTGGGTAACAAATTGAGAATTATAGTAAATTTGAGGATGATTCCACAGACGAGGTTTCAAGAAAGTGGAACACTCACCTAGAAAAACTTGGGGGACAAGCTCTAGCACCTTCATTTTCCTATTGCAGTAAAGTCTTGAGAATTTTGCTATTCGTCACTGAGTCTTGGAGACTGATTAATGATTAAGAGGTTGATATTCTGTTTTTGTTGGTGATGTTTTGGGTACTAGTTCCCCAGCTGGGCCCCAAGAGTGCTGGCTGATGACAGCCAACCGGCTGCAGGTGGTGACTGCCCAGGTGAAGATGTGTCTGAATCCCCACTGTCTGGCCCTGCATAGCTTCATGGACATCTATACAGGTGGGTGCCAGCCTTTCTTCCCGCAGTGGCCCCCAAAGCAGGTTTGAGAACAGTCCCTGGGGTCAGACTCTGGTCCTGTGAGCCCTAGACCTTCTCTCAGATGGGGATTTTTCCTCCTGGATGTCTCAGCCCCAGTATACATGTACCTCCTAAGTGTTAGGATTATCCAGGGTTTTTTTTTTTTTTTAATTATTTTTATTGATTTAAGAGAGTAAGGAAGATGGAGAGAGAGAGAGAGAGAAACATCAGTGATGAGAGAGAATCATTGATCTGCTTCCTTCTGCACACCCCCTATTGGGGACCAAGCCCATAACCCAGGCATGTGCCCTGACTGAGAATTGAACCATGACCTCTCAGTTCATAGGTTGATGCTCAACGACTGAGCCACGCAACCGAGCTCAGGATCTTTAAGCAAAATTACTTTTTAAATAATAGATCGTGATTATAGAAAAACTGGAAAATGCTGACAAGTAGAAAGAGGAAACTGAAAATCATTATTAATACTACCTTGAGATAAACTCTTAACATTATGCCCTCTAACCCCAGGTTTGTTATTCATCACTGCAGAATATAAGAAAGTGTGGAAGGATTTATAGGTTTATAGCTTTTCTTCCAACAAAAATGTAGTTGTGCTGGATGTTGCTTTGGAATGTGCTTTTTAAAATTTAGCAGTATATCATTGGCATCTTCTTGTGCGAGGAAGTAGAGAAATACATGGCCATTTTAAAGAATTGGCACTCCAATTTAAACTCCTCTTTATAATTAAATCTTGTGTACACAGCCTTACTTATTTCCCTAGGGCAAATGCTCAAAAGTGAAATTGCTACATATTCCCTCATTTCCCCCTCTGTTCATCAGCATCAAATATTTATTGAATATTCATTATGTACCAACCATTGTGATAATTTGAATCTTGAGTTTTATGTGTAGAATTGGGTGCTGAAGATTAAAAAGTATTTGTTATTCTGTCTTCAGAACCATATGGTGCCTCATTTTGAATTCAAGCTTTCAGTGTCTTGCATTGCCAGATTGAGTTTGTGCTATTTTATGCTCTTGCCCACAATTAATATTAATAGAATGCCATTTCCCTGCATTCTGTCTAGGCCAGTAAGTAGTACCTTATATGTATATGTGTGTGTGTGTGTGTGTATGTATATATATGTATGTATGTATGTATGTATGTATGTATATGTATATGTATGTATGTATATGTACATATTTGTAATTTTAACTTAATTTTTAAATTTATACATGGTAAAATTTACTTCGTTATTGTATAGTTATGAGTGTATAGTTATGAGTCCTGAAAAATGCATTGAATTGTATAACTGCCACCCCAATCCGTGTGTGTGTGTGTGTGTGTGTGTGTGTATTAGAGGCCCAGTGCATGAATTCATGCATGAGTGGGGTCCTGCCAGTTTGACCAGGGGGGGGGGACATAGGCATTTGTCTGGGGATAATTTGCATATTAGCCTTTTATTATATAGGATATACACTGAGTGGCCAGATTACTATGTGCCAGAGATCATACTTATCTGGCCACTCAGTGTATAGAACAGTTTCATCATCCCAAAATACTGTCTTCTACTTTCTCTTTGTGATCAAACCCATTCTTTACCCCTAACATCTAGCAACCATTTGATATGCTCTTCATCTCTATAATTTCATCTTTCCAGAATGTCATAAACTCAATCATAGGACCATAGAATGTAGAATTTCTAGTCTATTATGAAGCATAAGGCCTTTTAGTCACTCATACTTTTTAATGTGTCAATAGTTTTTTTCCTTTTAATTGTTGAGTAGTCTTGCATTGTAAGTAGTACCACAATTTGTTTATCACTTCACTCATTGCAATTGAAGGACATTTGGATTGTTACCAGTTTGGGCAGTTATGAATAGAGCTGCAATAAACAATCATGGGCAGGCTTTTGTGTGAACATAAATTTTCATTTCTTTTTGGTAAATACCTAGGAGTCAGATTATTGCTGGGCTATATGGTAAATGTATGTTTAATTTTATAAGAACTTTCCAAACCATTTACCTGATTACATGTATGTACCATTTTGCATGCGCTCCAACTATAGTTGAGAGTTCTGGTTTGCTCCGCTTGCCAGAACTTGATATTGTCTATTTTTTGTTTGTTTTTGTATTTTAACCATTCTAATAGGTATGTGACTGGTATTTCATTGTGGTTTTAATTTGAATTGACTTGATGACTAATGTTCATCAGATTTTCATGGGTTTTATTTGCCATTTGTATTTGTTCTTTGGTGAAGTATCTTTTTGATCTTTAGCCCATTGAATTAGGTTGTTCATTTTCTTCTTGTTTGAGAGTTCTTTGTATATTCTGGATACAGTCCTTTGCCAGATAAATGATTTACAGTTATTTTCTTAGGATCTTTGGCTTCTCTTCATTCTCTTAATAGAACCTTTCACAGACATTCTTAATTATGATAAAGGCCAACTCATCAAAATTTTTATTGTTTTATTTGATCAATTTTTTCTTTTAGGGATTTGAAAGAGAGAGGAACGAGAGAAACATGTCAGTTGCCTCCTGTATGCATCCTGACTGGGGATGGAACCCACATCCTAAGTATGTGCCCCGACCAGGAATTGAATTTGCACTCCTTTCGTGCACAGGACGATGCTCCAACCAACTGAGCCACCAGGCCAGGGATAGAAACATGTTTTTGATGTTCTATCTAAGATTTCTTTACCTGGGTGAGAGTCAAAAATACTTTCTTGTTTTCTTCTAATAGTTTTATAATTTTGTGGTTTACATTTAGGTCTGTGAATTAATTTTTGTAAAAAGTGTGAGTCTGAGATCAAGTTCATTTTTTGTTTTGGCCTGTGGATCTCCAATATCACCATTTGTTGAAAAGTAGCCCTTCGTTTATTTGTTGAAATCAACTCATCATATACATATGGGTCTATTTATGCATTCTATTCTGTTCCATTTCTTTATGTTGTTTACTAGAGGCCTGGTGCATGAAATTTGTGCATGGGAAGGGGTGTCTCTCAGCCTGGCCTGCACTCTCTTGAATTTGGGACCCCTAGGGGGATGTCTGATTGCCAGTTTGGGCCTAAACCAGCAGTTGGACATCTCTCTCACAATCTAGGACTGGCTCCTAATCACTTGTCTGCCTGCCTAATGCCCCTAACTGCCCTCCACTGTCGGCCTAGTCACCCCCAACGGCCCTCCTTTGTCGGCCTGATCTCACCCCCAACTGCTCTCCCCTGCTGGTCTGATCGCTCCTAAACCCCTGCCAATCTGATCTTGCCCCTAACCTCCTGCCTGATCTCACCCCTAACTGCCTCTGCCTCAGCCCTCAACCACCATGGCTTTGTCCAGAAGGAAGTCGGATATCCAGAAGATGGCCAGTTGACCCAGTCTAATTAGCATATTACCCTTTTATTATTATTGACTAGAGGCTGGTTGCAGGAAGATTCCTGCAATCAGGCTTCCTGCTGTGGTCGCCACCCTGCCTGCTTCCCTCCCTCCTCTGCCACCCCGCCCTTCTCCCCTGCCCCGCTTGCTTGCTTGCTTGCTTGCTTGCTTCTTCACAGCTTCACTCTCTTTGTAGCGCTGGCTTCTTTATGCTGTCTTCAGTCTTTGCTGGCCTGGATATGCAAATTAACCACCATCTTGGTTGGGTTAATTTGCATACTTGCCCTGATTTGCTGGTGGGCGTGGCTTGTGAGCGTAGCAAAGGTATGGTCAATTTGCATATTTCTCTTTTATTAGGTAGGATTCTTTGTCCCTATCACACTCTCTTGATTAGTATAACTTTATAGCAAATCTTATAATTAGATAATGTGAGTCTTTTAATCTTGCTCTTACCTGAATTGTTTTGGAAATGTATATATATATAATGCAAATTAACCAGGACACCATAATAGTCACGAACACTCAGTAGGAAGCTGCGTGCGCAGGTGGGTGGGAGGGGACTGCTGCGTGGTGAGGCAAGCTATGACTGGCACAGGCCTGCAGGGAGCAGGGCCTGCCAGTCACCACTGCTATGGCGAGCAGGCCCGCAGAAAGTAGGGATGTGCAGGCCTGCAGGGAGCAGGGCCTATCAGCCGGGGTGTGCCAGCAGTCTCACTCTGCATGTGAACACCTTTTCTGACTGCTCATTGGCTAAGCTCCCGATACACCACTTGCAGTGTTCTTGGTAATTGCGTAATAAGAACCCAAGCAGGTTATCTAGGGTTTTTCCACCTCACTCCTGGAGGAAAAAAATGAAGGTCCGCTGCTGGAGGGGCTAAGAAATGGCATATCCTGCCCTCGCCGGTTTGGCTCAGTGGCTAATCCTTGGCCTGCCGACCAGAGGGTTCAGGTTTGATTCTGATCAAGGGCATGTACCTTGGTTGCAAGATCTTCCCTGGCTGGGGCACAGGTCAGGGCTCATGCAGGAGGCAACCAATCTAAGTGTCACTCTCACATTGATGTTTCTGTCTTTCCCTCTCTCTTCCACGCTCTCTAAAAATCAATGGAAAACTATCGTAAGTTGAGGATTAAAAAAAAAGAAAGGAAAATATGAAAGAGACATCTTGAAAATGCCTAAAGAAAGTTGTCATTTTTTTTGTGGTGAAGGGACTGGATTCATGTTGATGAAAACATCTTGGCAGCTGGGGCAGCCAGCAGTGGCAGCAGCAGTGGGGTGATGAGGGTGGCGCCTTCCCCTGATTAGCCCTGTTGCCTCCTGCAGAGGGAGGCCAGACTGTGGGGAGCGGGCCATCAGTAGGACATCCCCTGAGGGACTCCCCTCCTCCGTGCACGAAATTTCTGCACTGGGCCTCTAGTTTCAATATAAAGTTAAGAATTAGCTTGTTAGTATCTACAAAATCTTGGTGGAATTTTAATTGAGATTGTACTGAATCTATACATCAATTTGGGGAAGTTTGACATGCTTAAAAAATATTAAATTGTCCCATTTATGACCATGGTTTGTCTCTCTGTTTTATTGGGTTTTCTTTTATTTCTTTTATCATTGTTTTATACTTTTCAGCTTATAGGTCTACACGTCTTGTTAGATTTATTTTTTTAAATATATTTTTATTAAATATATTTTTATTGACTTCATAGAGGAAGGGAGAGGGAGAAATACAAACATCAATTATGAGAATTACCAATCAACTGCCTCCTGCATGCCCTCCACTGGGGACCAAGCCTGCAACTCAGGCATGTGCCCTCAACCAGAAACAAACCTGGGACCCTTCAGTACACAGGCCAATGCTCTATCCACTGAGCCAAACCAGCCAGGGCAGATTTATACCTAAGTATTTTTTGTAGTAACTTTTTATAGATTATTATAGTTTTTAAAATTTTATCAATTTAATAGGTAAAAGTTGGTATATAATTTCCTAAAAATTGTCTTTTATGTATGTTTTCTGTTTTCTCCATGACTTTCTTTTGTGAATATTTTCATTCTGTTTTGGGTTAATTTGTTGACAGAGCTCTTCCTCAGTTTATCAATTATTCCTTTTTTATTTTAATTGGTTCAAGCCTAACTTTTTAAATTATTTTTTAATCTTTATTGTTGAAAGTATTACACATGCCCTCTTTTTCCCCCATTGACCCCCTCCAGCCCAGCCCCCCCCCCCCCCCCCCCGCCTCCACTCTAGGCTTTCAGCACCCTATTGTATATTATATGCATACAAGGTCTTTGATTGATTACCTCCCACCCATCCACTTTCCCACCCTCCCACCCTTCCCACCCCTCACTTTCCCTCTGAGATTCTTCATTATCTGTTGTCTTTAAAATTGTGAATTATTATTATTATTTTATTTTTATTTTTTTTTTGCTTTTTGGTTTTTAATTTTTATGTAATCATTGTTTTGATCTTCTTTATGGCTTCAAAATATATCATGCTTAGAAAGGGGGTGAAAGGGGACATGAGTAATAATTTCCCCATTCCTTATACGAGCACATATTCCGTAATATGCTTTTGTGCATTATGTATTGTGCAAATGTAAAATCACCCTCTTTCATTTGTCTTAAACTGACTACATTTAAATTTCTCTGAGTCTTTTAAAAATTTGGGTGGTTTTTTACCGTTTCACATTCTCTACACACCCCTGGGCTAAAAGATACTCCAGTGAAGCTGTGCGAGGTTGTGAGGACTGAACTGGGTGGTAGGAAGATGCTTCTTTTTTTTTCTTGTTATTTTATTATTTGCTTTTTTCATTTAATGTATTATAGACAACAGCATGTCATAGCATTTAAGTCTACCATATTCTTTGTAATGATGCAGAATTTGCTATTTTATAACTGCACCATGGTTTATTTAACTGTTCCTTGATTGGGCTTTTAGTTCCCAGTTTATTGTCATTGTGGATGATGTTATAGTGAATTTCCCTACTGCCTTTTCTTAACCTTCAGGTCTCTTCAATGTGGGGAACAAGGTGCTAGTGAGCCTGGACTTGCTCTTTGCAATCCGAAACCAGATTAAGCTGGGAGAGGACCCCAGAGTGTCTGTCAGTGCTGTTCTGAAGTCGGTGCAGGAGCAGGCAGGTAAAGGTTGGCTCCCTCCCTTTCCCAAGGTTAGGGTTAAGCTCCCTGGGGATTTTCAGTGATGGGCTTTGATTGAAAGAGTCATCCAAAGAGTTTGTCCTTTGGTCATAGGTAAACTTGACCTAACTGCATGTTAATCAGACTCATTTTGAATACACAGTTTCTGGAGGTCCTAATAGTAAGGAGGATGGTGCTGAGGTACCATCCTCCTTACTATTAGAAATTATTTCTGTTTGTGCTTTTCCCATCTCATCCGTTCTTACAGACTCCAGTTCTGCATTTTTCCTGCTGTGAGGTATTAGAGCAAAGGTACTAGAGCCAGACAGGCAGGCTTATGTTTGAGCCTTGGCTCTGCCACTAGTGGCACTGTGTTTTTAACCAAGTTATTTTCTCTGTGCCTCAGTTTCTCCAGTTATAAAATGAGGAAAATAATAGCTCCTCGTTCAGAAAGACATGAGTTAAATGAGAAAATTTGAAGCTCTGCACATTGTCTAGTGCCTAGTAGGTACTCAGTACAGGCAGACATAACTGATTGGAATTGCCCTCCAGGTTGCACCTGAGCACTTGAAGGCCAGGGTGCTTGACCCTTAGGGTGGTTAGTACTCTTGTGTGTTCTGCAAGAGAAGCCATCGCAGAATTGCTATTCTTGCTGGCCATTAGCTCATCCCCAGTGGCCTCGGTGACCTACTCAGAGCTCTTGTTCTTCTTCCAGAGAAGACGCTGGCCTCAGAGGAGCTAAGCCAGCTGCAAGAGCTGCTGTGCAATGGCTATTGGGCTTTTGAGTGCCTCACTGTCCGAGACTACAATGACATGATCTGTGGCATCTGTGGTGTGGCCCCCAAAGTAGAAATGGCCCAGAGGAGTGAAGAAAACGTGCTGGCACTGAGAAGTGTGGAGGTAAGTGTCTCTCTATCACCGTGGGTAACCTTTAGAACTGTCCTCACACTTCGCTGCCACCTCCTGCATCATGTATATCCCCAGGGACAGATGACTCCAGTCCTGTCCTGCGTGAGAAGAGTGGCTTTTTCCTGGCACTGCCCAGGTTTTCATCTAAGGAAGGTCAGATGGAAATAGAGGCATTTGTTATCATTCAACAAGTTTATCACATGAACTAGGTACACTTTTTAGACACTTGGGAAATGGCAGTTAAAAAAACCCCACAGAGTTTCTGTGCTCATGGAGCTCATCTTCTGGTTTAGGTAATCCGGAAAAAAGCATTAACAATTTATTATAATAATAAAGTACATGCTTATATTATAAAGAATAAATTACAAGAAATGTGGTAACAGTGAAGCCAGGGTGTGGTGGGAAAGGGAATTCCTCTTTTATATAGAGTGGTCGAGGATGGCCTCTCTGATAGCAGGGTGTTTGAATAGTGATTGGAGCCTGTGTTCTCCTCTGGGGGGGACATTCCAGGCAGAGGGAGCAGGAAGGGTTTGCGGGGCATGGTTGAGGAACACTAAGGACAACAGCAAGGCGGCTGGCGTGTGTGGCCATGGAGAAAGTGGTAGAAGTGAGGTTCAGGAGGCTGGACTCTGTGTGGGGTCGTGTGGGCCATTTTAAGAATATGCTCTGGGGGAAATGAGAGTCTCTTAAGGGTTTTGAGGATCTGATCTGATCTATTATCTTTGTGTGAACATTTTTTAGTTAAGAACCTAACACCAAACACAGATAGGTTTGCATATTCTAACAAATACCCAAGAAACCTGTGATTCCAATCATAGAAGAACAGCAAATATACAACTTATTGTATAAGGCCATATAACCTTAAAGCAAAACCAGATGTTTACTATAATAGAAAAAATTGGAACCGATTATACTCATGAATATAGATGTTGAAGTCTTGAATAAGATAATAGCAAATCAACTTTAACAGCAAATAAAGTAATCCATTGTGACTAAGTTTATTCCAGGAAAGCAAGATTGCTTCGATATTAGAAAATACACTAATGTAATTCACTCCTTAACAGATTAAAGGAGAAAAGCCATATGGTTATTTTATTAGATGTAAAAGAGGCTTTCAATGTTGTTCAACACCTGTTTATGATAAATCTCCTAGCAAATTGGAAATAATAGAGAATCTTCCCTAACCTAGTACAAGGGTTTAAAAAATCCCATAGTTTGATTAGCTCTTTCCCACAATCATGTGCCGTTAGTCTGAGTCTGCACATAGTTGCTCTTGGGTTCATAGATGTTCTGAGTTTCTATCTCTGAACTCTGACCCGAAGACTGGAACAGGAAGTGACTCTTAAGGCACCAGGCTTGTAGCTCTGCCTGTTCACCACCAGGGGAGGTGTGGCTCTTTCGAGAAAAGCTTTAGCCTGTCGAGCTGAATATATTTGAGATTTAGTTCATATTCTTTTTCTTCCCAGTTAAAGAAATTCATATGTTGATCAAGTATTTATACTTGAAGAACGGTAGTATATGATAAGACATATGAAAACAAGTATACTGCATACCGGAGGTTTCTTAGTGTTGATAAAATGAATGGGAAAAAATTTTTGCTTCTATGTGTGATCTCACTAAGAGGCTATTCTACATTCATTCAAATCTGTTTACCTAATCATAATATTAACAATAATGCAGCTATGATTTATTGAGCATTTTATTACATATGCCAAGTTCTTACTCTGTGCTCAGTGCTTTAATATATACTGACTTCTCACCCTAATTCTGTGAGGTTTGTGTAGATGAAGGGAATGAAGCCCAGAGGGCCTTGCCCATGCTCATACAGCCAGGAAGAAGTGCTGGGATTTGGCCTCATTCTGGTTGTCTGACTCCAGAGTCTGAGCTCGTAAAGACTGCCATGCTCACCTGAACCTCCTGGGTCTCTGAGCTCTGATTTTTCTAATCACATTGGCCTGGAGAGGTTTCCAGAACAGACAGAAGCCCCCTTTCCCACAAGGCCCACGGCTCTTAGTCCTACCAGAGCTCTTTCTTCAAGCCTTCCCTTCGTTCTCCGTGTGCATGAGTCTTCTCTTCCATGGCATTGGTTATTTCTTCTAGAGACTAGAGCTTACTTTATTTTATTCCTTTTGTACAGCGGTGTGGTGTCTGTGGGGAAAATGGGATAGTTACTAACAAAGCTTAAATATGCAATTGTCTATGAGGACACTGCCGGGCTGGCCCCTTCCCTCAGGGACTGTATAGAGGAGGACCCTCTAGACAGCAGCCATGTCAGTTGCTCACACAGCATATTAGTTGGCATTTCCTGTCCCTTGTTGATGAAGAGGGTGGGTTCAGTTCCTTATGAAATTATGGTGGGAGACTGTCATGTACTCACAGCATGTGCTCGTGCCCCGTGAGGTGGGGAAGGAAAGGGGAGCAAGATGGGGAGATAGATGTCTTGTGTAGAGCAGTAATCCTCAGGATTAGTGGACCTAGGAATTACATTGGACAGCGGCTCTCAGTCTTATTAGTGTGGAGGGCTTGCTCAACCCTACCCACACGGATTCTGATTTAGTAGGTCTGGAGTGGACCTGAGAATTTGCCTTCCTAACAAGTTCCCTCGTGCTTAATGCTCTTGCTGCTGGTCCAGAACTGCGCACATGGGGAGTCTGTGTAAAGTGCACACTTATAAATATAGTTCATACAGATCACCATGTGCCCTGGTATTAGCACTGATAAGTAACATAAATGACTGCACCAAGTAATAGGATCTAGGTCACACTTTGAGGACCATATAAGGGGGATACCAGGAGAAAAACTTGAGTAACTCAACTACTAGGTTCCTTCAATAGCTGAGTAAGTGCTGCATGAGGTAGAGGAGATAGCTGTGTTCTGGCAAGGCCTGGAGACCTTTCTGCAGGAGGTCAGGGATCAACGGGGCCTTGGAAGTAGGTAGAATATCACTATATTTTATTCTGATGATTCCTGCCAGCCAATATAAGCATTAAAGGGCATGGGCTTTGGAACTAGACCTTGGCATTCTGTTCTATCTTGCTCCAGTGGTCTCACTCAGACATCTCAGGCTTGTATGTAGCAAAGGACAGTTAGGTACTGAGATGTCAGATTTGGGGGCATCCCAGCAGTACATGGCTGTTGTAAACCCTCTCCCCAGCTTTGGTTGCCCTGAGTGTATCAAGAGGGTAGGCTTTTGTGTTGCTAATATTCTGTGGCTCCTACAGTTTGACCTTTTTTATCCTGACCTTTTAGTTCACCTGGCCTGAGTTCTTGGGCTCTAGTGAGGTAAACGTGGAGGACTTTTGGGCCACGATGGAGACAGAGGTGATTGAGCAGGTGGCCTTCCCTGCCAGCATCCCTATCACCAAGTTTGATGCCTCTGTTATTGCCCCCTTCTTCCCACCACTCATGAGAGGAGCTGTGGTCGTCAACACTGAGAAAGACAAAAACCTGGATGTACAGCCAGTACCTGGTAAGGCCACCTGGTGGCTGACTGGGGTCAGGGAAGGGCCCAGTCAAGAGTCTAGAACACTGTCCGTGGCAAGATGCACAAATGACAGAGCCGGGGCCAGGCCTACCCACCCTGAGCTCCTTTGGGAAAGAGAACAACCTGTGACATCCCCTAGAGATGAAAGTCATGATGTGGAGTTTCAAAGTGCTGCCAGCCATATTGTATAAGACTGACTTATATAGCCCATTGTCAGCCTTCAGGGATGCACTGCACTGAACAGTGGAAGTCCTCCGAGAAATGCTGATAAGGCTCCAAACCCAAAGGTTCTCGCTGATAAGTGTGGGGGTGGGGGGAGGCCAGGGAGTCTGCTTTCTAAACAGTCCTTTAGACAGTTTTACAGATGCCCTGCGGCATATACATTGAGACACCCTGGGCTAGCTGTTGAGAGCATAGGTTTCTGACACCAAGAGTTTAGTCCCAGCATTGCCACTTAGCATTGGTAGCCATGTGACCTCCATCAAGTCCCTTCATTGCCCTGAGCCTCTGCTGCTTCATTGACAAACAGGGCATGATACGGTTACCCATATCCTGGGCTGTTGTGAAGATTAAGTGATCTAATTAGAGGATAGCCTTCTACTTTAAAAAAAAAAACAAAAACAAACCTGCAACTCACAATAAGAAATAGGTTCTGCATCATGACCCAGCATGATACTCATAAGTAGGTACATGTGTGTGTATCTGTAACTAAAGCAAAACTTTCATAAAACGGTATTTTTCCTTACCAAGTGCATTACACTTCGTTTTTAAAATTCTGAATATGTATGACCCACTGAAATAATTTTTCTCAGTATTTAATATGTTGTGATCCACTGGTTCTCAAACACTAGATGTGAGGCCCACCTCCTGTTTGCTGCTTCAAGGCCCAGGAAGTGTTTGTTTGTTTTTTGTATTTTTAAAAAAATATATTTTATTGATTTTTTACAGAGAGGAAGGGAGAGGGACAGAAACATCGATGAGAGAGAATCATCCATCAGCTGCCTCTTGTACGCCCCCCACTGGGGATGTGCCCGCACTAAGGTACATGCCCTTGACCGGAATCGAACCTGGGACCTTTCAGTCCACAGGCTCTATCCACTGAGCCAAATCGGTTTCGGCAGGAAGTGTTTTTTTAAGGCCCCCACATATTTCTGTTGATGAGGCAGGTTCAGGAATCTTGTATAGACAACATTTTAAAATGGGAGTTGCTACTTCTTGTTGCTGTGGCTGTGGTAAGCACCTGAGATTCTGAAAAACCTTCACAGGTTAAAGCTGGCCCATTTGGGAGTTCTTTGCAAGGGCACTCTGCCAGATCTCCCAAATGTTCATGGGCACAAAGCAGTCTGAGAAACTTCAGATCTCTGCAGAAGTCATAAGATCTGCCTTGAGTCCACCTCTCCCAGCACCCAGGGCAGAGCTCAGGGCAGAGCCTGCTTCCAATCCTTGCTGTCCTGTAGGCCTTGCCCCCTTGTTCTCTTCCTCACGCATCAGGTACTGCCCGTGACCTCTATGGCTGAGGCAGTGCCCTCCCCTCAGCATGTTGTCTCTTGCAGGCAATGGCAGTGTCTTGGTGAGGCTGCTGCAGGAGGGCACCTGCAAACTGGAGGAGATGGGCTCCTACAGCGAGGAGGAGCTACAGCAGCTGCTGAGGCAATGTGGCATCCCCTTTGGTGCAGAAGACTCCAAGGTGAGTGTTGGGTAGCAGTGGACTGGGACATTGGGAGCAGGCTGGTGGTCCATTCTTCTGGCCAGGAATACAAACACCTGTGACTGGGCGCCTGTGTTAGACAGAGGATGCTGGCAGTCAGGGAGGCCTGGGAGATAATTAGCAGTCAGATGGTAGCATGCATGTGAGGCCTTTCCCTCCTGTCATTCTTCTATTGATGGTAGTGGGTTCAGATTGTGGGCTTGGGCAACCTGGCCTCCTGCCTACTGTGTGTGATCTTGGGTAAGCACCTTATATCATATATATATATATATGTTATGGAGGTTTTTCAGAATCTTAGGTGCTTACCACAGCCACATATATGTGAATTATATATGTGAGTGTGTGTGTGTAGGAGTGCTTTATTCATAAGTTATTTACTTCCCATATTTCATATATATATTTCTAAAGGAAGAGAGAGGGAGAGAGATGGAAACATCAGTGATGAGAGAGAATCATTCATTGGCTGCTTCCTGCACACCCCACACTGGGGATCAAGCTTGCAACCCAGGCATGTGCCCTGACTGGGTATCGAACTATGATCTCCTGGTTCATAGGTCAACACTCAATCACTGAGCCATGCTAGCCGGGGCAGTACCTTATATTTCTGAGCTTTGTTTTTCTCATTTTGCAAAGTGGAAATAACTAAAATACCGACCTCAAGAGATTGTTATCAGGAAGCAAGCACTTTGCACAGTGCCTGGTTGCCACCTATCCAGGCTCCTAAAGAGTGAGTGCTATGATGGTTCATTGTGTGTGTGTGTGTGTGTGTGTGTGTGTGTGTGTGTAGGAGTGCTTTATTCATAAGTTATTTCCCTTCATACTGATAAAGCTGTTGAACATTTTATGTTTCTTTCAAGTTTAGACTCAAATATTAGAAAAGTAGGAATGCAAGCCTCAGAGAGGCAGCTCTGTCAGCCAAGCTGGCTCTGTCTGTGACCCTCCTGTCTGGGCCTCGGGGTCCTCATCTCTACCTAGAGGACGTTGGGTTGGCAAGGCTCAAGGCCCACTGCCGTCTTGACGGTTGATTCTTTTGCGTTAGGTATTGAAGGTAGCATGTGGTGCTGGGCGCAGGCCTGGCCCTTTAGCATTCACTGCTGTTTTTAATCTTGATTTCTCCAGGACCAGCTCTGTTTCTCCTTGTTGGCCCTCTATGAATCTGTACAGAATGGAGCCAGAAGCAGACAGCCCCCGCCTCATCTCACAGGGGGTAAAATCTACAAGGTGTGCCCCCATCAGGTAAGAGGGTAACAAGAAGGAGCCTGGGGGGAATGCTCATGACACATTGCCCACCGTCTTACTGAGCCAGCTCGTCCCGTGGGAGCTGGCACTGAGCTCACGGGCAGCCTGTGGAGTAAGTCCAGATTGTCAGGTACCACAGTTAGGCCAATCGGAGAGCCAGGATTATCATCAGTGAGTGTTTATTGAGCTCCCGGCCGTGTGCTGGCCCTGCCTTAGCTGCTGAGGGTACAGAGGTGAGCAACAATGTCTTTCCTTCTTAGTGGACCTCATTTTAGTGAGGAAACAAAGTCACCACAGCTTTGGACAAGGTAAGTGACAGTGAGGGACCTCCTGTCCTTGCGGCAGCCAGAGAAGACTGAGAGCCCAGTGACAGTGAAGGAAGGAATGTTCCAGCAGAGGGAAGAGCAGCCACTAGCCCTCAGTAGGGAAACCTAGTGAGCCAAGAGAAGGGAGGCTGGAGGGGTCACCAGGTCACCAGATCATGTAAGGCTTTGTAGGCCAGAGCAACAGTTTGGATTTTTTTCTCTGAGACCAGTGATGGGCCCACTGAATGGTTTTGAATGGGAAAGGGGATAAACATGGCCTGGTTTTGGTTTGAGGTCACTGTCTGTCTGTAGGGGGTGTGGAAAGGGCAGGCTCTGGGGTCACTCTGGAAAGCTCGTGTTGACAGAGTGGGCACAGGAACACAAGGGTATAATACCCTGTGCACAAGCACTACATAGCAGGGGGAGAGTGGCGTGGTGATGGGGGGCGCGCGCGTACTGGCAGAGCTTCAGTTCACTGAGATGTGTGAGTGGGCAGAGCGACCTCACTGTCAAAAAAAGCCAAGTTGTCAACTCCTTCAACAAAGCTGTGTCTGTGGGAGACGCTGGATGCCTGCACCCTGGCAGAGCGGAGCCTGCTCCCAGGAGAGTGTTCATGTGCCTGAGGCCATCTCACGACAACACAGGGACACATGTGAGAGCTGTGATGGAGGAGCCGTATCACTTGGAGGCGGCAGCCAGGTCTGGTGGATGTGAAGGTGGAGGCAGAGGCAGAATGCTCTAGTGTACACACAGCTGCCTGGCTGTGGAGGGGGTTTGGGAGCCCTGTCAGTGGAGATGTTAGTTTGCATCAGGGTCTGGTTGGGAGCTGCTTAGAATACAGCTGCCTTGGTTTGGGGATAGAGCCCAGGAACTTCATTTTTAACCAGCCTCTAGCTGCCGGTGCTGTGCAGCCAGGTTAGGGAAGCACTAGGCCGGGTGGTGTACTGGGTAGGGTGATGTGGCGGAAGGATGGGGGGAGAGGTTGGAGCGGATGACCTGGGAGTTTTTAAGCCTCAGCTGAGGACCAGACTTTCCCAACTCTCCTCAGGAGGTCAGGGATGAGCTGACGACTTCATTTAGGGACAGAAGGAAGACAGAAGCAGGATGTTAAGGGCTCTGTCTGGCAGGATGGCTGTGGCTTCAATCACAAAACCTGATTGTTCGTCTTCCTGGGAAGAAGCCATTGAGGACTCCACTCAGTCTGTCCTGTGCTGTGCCCTCCATCTACCTGTAGGTGATCTGTGGCTCCAAGTACCTTGTGAGGGGCGAGAGTGCCCGGGACCATGTGGATCTGCTGGCCTCTTCCCGCCACTGGCCACCTGTCTATGTGGTGGACATGGCCACACCGGTGGCCCTTTGTGCTGACCTCTGCTACCCAGAGCTGACCAATCAGATGTGGGGGAGGAACCAGGGCTGTTTCTCTAGTCCCATGGAGCCGCCTGTGGTGAGTTTTCTTCTGAGGACCTGGAATAAATTCTGCAGGTCATGTCGCCCCCTTTCCCCCCGGTTTTTCAGTAAGTCCTTCTCTCCAGCATCCTTCCTCCATCAGTATTTGCCTTGATGTTCTGGAACTATTTACTCCATAAATTTTACTGACCAGCCCCTGTGTGTGTGTGGCCACAGCATGTCTCTTAAGGTGCCACAGTTATCTTAGGGGTCAGGGTTGCCTTCCTGATAAGCCTAGAAAATTGCCTCCTTGGATAGTCGTCATGGACACTGATATACTGAAGGCCCCAATCAACCCCCAATTGGATTTAACCATGAGTATACCGAATGGCATGTCTTTTATGATATGGAGACACAATGGCTTAGAAAACACCTAATCCAACCCTCTCCTTTTATTAAAGGGGGAAGTAAGGCCTGGAGTGGGAAGTAGACTTGTCCAGTGTCACACAGCATGTTCGTGACAGAGCCCATGTCTGTGTTTTGGTATATTGTACTAAGCAATGGCTCTTACCAGAGGCATGTACCCTCCAAGGCCAGCTGAACCCTGTACAGACAATAGGAGAAAGGGGGCATCATTGTCACACTCACCTTTTCCTTGTTCCCTGGGGCTCACTGGCTCGGGGCTTGTGCTGAGCACTGCAGTAGATGTCTGAGCCTCAGTGAGAGCCACTCCCTCTCCACTGCCTTGCAGCCCTGCCTCAGTTGACCAGGCACTGCAGTAAACAGCAGCAACTCAGGTAACCCAACATCTGCTTTGATTATGTCCCTGTTCTCACATGAGGAAATGGAGGCACAGAGATGGAGGAGAGGGGACTTGCCCAGGAGGCATGATGTGTGTTGACAGGAGGATTTAAACAGAGCTGATGATCCCACAGCCTTCACTCTCACCCACCACACAGGTCCCACTTGTCGTTCCCTCATGTCAGAGCGGCTTATCTCTCTTCTAGAGTGTGTCCTGCCCAGAACTCCTGGATCAGCATTATACTGTGGACATGACGGAGGCCGAGCACTCTGTCCAGCACCCAGTCACCAAGACTGCCACACGGCGCATCGTCCATGCAGGTGCACAGCCCAGTCCTGGTGACTCCAGTGCTGGGCACCACTCTTTGGCCCTGTGTCCTGAGTTGGCACCCTACGCAACTATCCTGGCCTCTATCACAGACAGCAAACCCAACAGCATCCGCCAGCGGCCCATCGCCTTTGACAATGCCACTCACTATTACCTCTACAACCGCCTCATGGACTTCCTCACCAGCCGTGAGATTGTCAACCGGCAGATCCACGATATTGTGCAGAGCTGCCAGCCTGGCGAGGTGGTCATCCGAGACACCCTTTACCGCCTTGGGGTTGCTCAGATCAAGACGGAGACAGAGGAGGAGGGTGAGGACGAGGAGGTGGCCGCAGTGACAGAATAAGCCAGGTTTTGTACAGGGACCGCACCATCTCTCTCAAGCCATAGTAATGCCCTTTCCCGAGGCAGATCCATCCAGGGGACCGGCAGGAGCATTCACCTGTGGGGAGGGCCGCTGATGCTGGCACTGACCAAAGAGCTCCCATTTTCTGAGCACAGTGGGGCCTGGGTTCTTGGTTCTCACCTTCTGGGGTCGAGAGAGGTACCAGGATGCTACAGCCCCGAGAAAGCACTTGGAGGACATAGTATATTCAACAGGGGAAGGGAGGCTGAGGGGAGGCTGCCTGGGGCCTGCTGCGGGTCAGGCCGAGGTCGCAGGATGGGCCAAGGCAGAGTTGGGCGCTAGGTGGGCAGGTTGCTAAGGTGGCCCTTCCCGCCTCTGGGAATGCTGTTTCCTGCTCCACAGCCTCATGAGCTCCTTAGCCTGTTGCCTTTGACTCAGGGCCTTGGGGGCCTCCTTAGCCCTAGGGACTCCTTTGGGCTCTCCCAAGGAAGGACGCACGCACTTCCTGCTTTTCCTGCACCCAAGTCTGGGGGACAGAGGAGGGAGAAACAGCCACGGCTCTCTTCCAGGACTGTCTTCTGCCCGAGCTTTGAGGAAGAGGGTCCTCTTCCTCCTTTCCCCTGGCCACAGTGGGGATGTGGCCGTGGCATGACATCACCTGGCAGCAGCAGGAAAAACTCCCTTCTGTGAAGGGGAAGCAGATGGGCTGTAAGGAAATAGCGGGACTGGCTCAAGTGCCCAGGGTTTGCTTAGGGCACGGGAATTGGCCATGTGTTATTTAATTTATTGAGAGGAGTGGAATAGGTGGCTTTTTTCCCCTCCCTCTTTCCCCAGCAAGGATAAAGTTTATTAAATTATCTGGTTTTGGTGAAGCAAGAGTCAGTTTCATTCTCATTGTGGGGGGCACAGTGGTTCAGCTTTGGAGTGCTGTGCTGGTCACCTGACTTGGAGGAATGGTAGGAGGGCCCAGGGCGTCCGCAGTCCCCCATGAGGCAGAGAACCAGAGGCCAGCTGTGTTAATGCTGTTAGTTTAATGCTGACGGCGGCATCCCGCAGTGTGACGGTTAGTTACGATGAGTCAATTTGGGGAAGTGCGTGCTGCTTGCTTGGTGTGGCCAGCCACACGGGTCGCCCGTCTTCCAGCTCAGGAGGACGGGGGCCTGGGCAGAACACCCCAAACTTTAGCTGCCAACTGGCTCATTGCAGCAGTACCAGATCCAGGGTGGGATGGGGCTGTGGGAAGAAGACCAGATGGCAGAGGCTAGCTTGTAAGTTAGATTCTTAGAGGAGCCTCCCTGCTCCGAGGAGTCTGAGCGGCTGTCTGCTCTTGTTGTTCCACTCGGTTAGGGGGGCGGTCCGTCCACTCTAAGGCCCAGGAGCCTTGTTTTCTCAGTATTGGGACAGTTCCTGGGGATGTCATAGGTGCGAAACCAGTCCATTGCCATGGAGACGGGAGAGGGTGGGGAAGGGGTTCCTGGAAACCGGACTAAGGTTAAGAGGGTAAGCTGGGGGTTCTCCCAGTTGGCATAGCAAACATGCCACAGTGTTGAGAAGAGAGAGAGGGGCGGGGCTCAGCCCCAGCCCCCGACTGGCAGTGATGACCCCGGCCCTGAAAGCAGGTCCTCTGATACCTCTTGGGTCCCACATTCCTGAGTTCCAGGGCTGGACTGTTGAAATGATCAGAGAGACAGTTTTTGTCGTCTTTGTGGCGCCCCATCCTCGGAGGAGTTGAAGCTCGGAGGAGGGGACAGGCAGTGCCCCTGGTGTCACCTCAGCAGAACTGGTAGTTGTTAGGCTGCAGCAGAGGCTGGGCAACATCCCCCTGCTCACAGCAGGCCAACTGCTCGCTGGAGCTCTCCTCCTGCTCGCTGCTGCTGCTGGGCAGGTTGGCATAGCCCTGAGGGAGGGAGAGGCGGGGATGGTCAGTCCTGACTGGACAGCCCCGCCTGGCCTCCTATTGCCAGCCCTGTCCTGAGTCTGGCCGCACTCACCTGCTCTCTGCTATCCTCTTGGGCCTGCTCCTGAAGGAGGAAGCAGATCTGCTGGAAGGTGGGTCTGTGGGTGGGCTCCAAGGACCAGCAGGCCTGCATGATGCTGTATCTGAGACAGGACAGAGGCCACCTGTGGGTCTGGGGATCATTGCACATGCACGGCCCCTACAGAGTCCTGCCCAGCAGAGGTCTCGAAACCTAGTTAAATGAGCTTAGCACAAGACCCATGTAAGCCCTTGAGAAAGGCATCTTCGTCATGCCCATTGTGACAATTGGGGAGAAGCTCAGAGATGCCATGTTGCTCAAGCTCCTGAAACAAGAGGGGCTACCCTTATGACCAGCAGGTGTGAAAGGTGGGCTGAAAGAATGAGCAATTGTTTGGCTGCAGCAAGAGACTAAAGTGGAGAGAGGGGGCTGCCAGCGGCATGAATGCACCCTGGCTGGGAGACGGGAGGCTGTGCTGAGGGGCCGGAGAAAGGTGACTTCAGGGCCTGGGGGCATGTGGTGAATGCAGGGAGCCAGTGAGCAGCCTCCCCATGGTAGGCCACTGTGGGGAGACATCCAGCTACCCGACAGGTCACCAGGACAGAGAAAGAATGAGAGAGTCTCCTTGAGGTCATAATAACAGAATCTGAGTTCAAAAACTCTGATTTAGGACCGGCCTGTGCTGCCTGGGAACCCAGAGGTAAGCCTGAGCTCATCAGGGGCTTGCTATGTAGTCCACCGTGGGGAGACGAGGCCTGGCCCTGGGACACAGGTTGGGAAAGCTGGGCCACATGTCTTTCCATGCCCTTCAACCAGAGTCGGGTGTCCTCCCTCCCTGGGGCCCCTCCTTACATATTCTTCGGTGCGAAGGCAGGCTGGGCCATTTGGTATCCATCCTTCACCAGTTTATAGAACTTGCTGTTCACCAGGATGCCAGGGTAGGGGTTTAGCCCTGCAAAGGCCAAGATCACACCATGCTCAGTACTCCTCCATCCCCATCCCCATCCCCATCCCACACATGTCTCGATGAGGTTGGGGTTCCACGATAAGACAGCAGCTCCTCTTAGTGAGAGCTACGTGCTGGGCACTGCAAAGGGCTTAGGTTCTAAGAAGCCGAGAGCCATCACCCAGCCTCATCACACCTCCCAGTTCTAGCACAGCCCTAGGAGAAGGAGGCTCTTAGAAGAGGGTGTTGAAGGGCTGAGCCCAAGTCCCTGTGCTGAGCACTCCAAAGCACCGGGGAGCTGTGTCTTCAGGTAATGTGTATTGTGGACCAGGGGAGACGGCATTCTAGGAAGCAGAATGGCACAAGCAGACAGATGAGGGAATGCCTGTTGTCAGGGTGGATGGTCTGCCCACGGCCCCAAGCATCCTTGGCTAACAGCCTCCTCGAGACACAAGACACTGCAGGGAACCAAACACACGCCCGTGGCTGAGCCTGCACCAGGCCAGTGCTCACCGAGTGAGAAGATCTCCCAGAGGAGGATGCCGTAGGACCAGACGTCGCTCTGAACCGTGTAGACGCAGTCGAAGATGCTCTCTGGAGCCATCCACTTCACGGGCAGGCGGGCCTGGCACAGCAGACCCCAGTCACCTTGGGCTCTGGCTCACCCTCTCCCCAGCTGGGTCCATCCCTCCCAGCACTCACGTTGCCCTTGACGATGTAATTGGAGTCATTCATGATGTCTCTAGCCAGCCCAAAGTCCCCAATCTTGGCCACACGCCCACTGGTCAGCAGCACATTTCGGGCTGCCACATCCCGATGGATGCACTGGGGAAGTGAGACAGGGTTAGTCTCGGCCTCTCCCTCCCCTCTCTGATCCACAGTGCAGGAGGAGCAGCCAGGCCTCAGAATCCTCTGTGAGGGAGTGAGCATCAGCCCTAGTCCTGACCGTGACCTTGATTCCTGCCCCTACCTTTCACATGGTCAGACAATGCAGTGTTTAGAAACCACCATTACTCAGGGCCTTTTGCCCTGACCAACAGCTGATTAGAGCTGGGTGTGCATCTACATGGGCCCGGAAGCAGTGAGCCCTGGCACTAAACCTTCGCTGGCCCACGTCAGCTCCTTACAGCAGCTGCCAGTTCCAGAGTCCTACCCTGCCAGGCCCTTCCCTAAGCATCTGCACACATTGTACCGCTCTGACCTCAGCCCTGTGATGGTGCCCATTTTAATTGATGTGGAGGCAGAGGCTCAGAACCTGGTCACTGCTCCCACTCCCTGGCACTGCTTCCTGGCCAGAGTGTATTGTGCCCTCATTTATGTAGTTCTGTTATCCCGAGACTATGCTGCACGTGTTGACACATGACCACTGCTGACTAAAACTAAAGCCTGTTGTTGGAAATGGGTGTGCCTCAGCCTGCTGCACACAGACTGCCTGCGGGGGCTCCCACCCCCAAAGCTCCAAGGCTGCAGCCGAGATGCTGTGGCCACTGCCCATTTGCTTCTGGCACTCTGACTCCTAACCTGCCCCTCGTGCTCACTTTCCTCCCACACTCCCCAGACTCATGGAGGTTCTGTGGCCCCCCACCCCACTGGGTGACCCAATGGGGAACCTGATTCCCAACTCACATTCTTGGAAGCGAGGAAGGCCATCCCCTGGGCCACTTGGCACGAGAAGTGGAGCAGGTCCCGCAGTTCCAGTGGCCACTCGTCCTTGCCCAGGTCTGGTGTGGGGACAGGCATCAGGGCAGCCCCCCCAAACCCCCTACCCAGCCCCCAGCAGCCCCGCTCCCTCTTCCTCCTCACCTTGCTCAGAGAAGGAATCATTTGAAGAAGAAGTAGAAACGGGCCTCATCTCCACATAGGTGTCCACACCTTGGCTGGAGAAGCCACTGTCCCTACAGAGAGGGCCACGGGCAGTCCCATTACGCATTGCCAAGCTTGGGCCTTGGCCTCCAGCCACTCGGCAGGGAAGAGACCTGCCACATTCTGATCACTGGTCCCTGCTTGGCCACCATGTGGGAGCGAACAGCCTATTCTCTCGGGGCAGCTCCACCGGTTAGAAATTTCTTCTAATGCCAATCAGCCCCTTGGATTTTCCTCCTCCTGGTCCTTGCTCTGCCCTAAGGGGCACAGAGAAGCGGGCTCCCTCTTCCTCACAACAGTCCTGCAGGGCTCTGAGCATATTTTCGAGCTTCTGTGAGCGCGCTCTGTCTAGACAGTGGCTCTTCCCCCCGGCCTCACATTAAAATCATCTGCGGAGCTTCAAACACTCCTGTGTCCAGGGGCAAAGCTCAGCCATTCGGTCTTTTCATTCCCTCCAGGCAATTCCAGCCCGATGCAGGCCCACTGTTCTAGAGTCATGCTTCTTTAACTCATGTGCATTGACTCACCTGGGGAGTCTTATTTAAATGCATGTTGTGATTCAGCCGGTCTGGTGGCCTGAAAGTGTGCATTTCTAACAGCCCTCTTTGGGGGGCAGGCAAGTTTGAGAATCGTTGCTCTAGAACAGTGGTTGGCAAACTCAGTCAACAGAGCCAAATACCAACAGTACGACGATTGAAATTTCTTTTGAGAGCCAAATTTTTAAACTTCTAACGCCACTTCTTCAAAATAGACGCGCCCAGGCCATGGTATTTTGTGGAAGAGCCACACACAAGGGGCCAAAGAGCTGCATGTGGCTCACGAGCCACAGTTTGCCGACCACGGCTCTAGATAGGTTGCTTCTAAGATAGCAACCAATCGAATTCTGTGTCACTCACCCTCCTGTCCCTTGTGCAGTAGAGATGTGTACCTTGACAATGTCCATGCTCTAGTGTTCCCCAAAAGAGAACCTAATGTTTCATTTATGGGCTGACCTTGGCAAAAGCATCCCCTCCTTTGGTCTAGAAACTATACTTCTATTAATGTAGCCTAGAATCCCTCTGGCAAGATTGGTTCACATAACATTTGCCCTTTAATCACTCCACTCTGTGAATCCTTTTCCCACCTGAAGATTTGAGGATTGAAGATAATAATTTAATTTGGTTCTCATTTTGATTTGATCTGGCCTGAGGTTCCAGCCTGCAGAGGCCCAGTGTCAGAGGGGTGTCCGAGAATCAGAAGAGGAAGTAGATCTAGCTAGTCCCCATACTCAGGGACACTGGATGGATGCAATACCCTCCTTCCCCTTTTGCCTCCCCAGATTTAGCAGCTGACAGTGGCTAGGCTAGGGGCCCAGTGTACACCCTTCTTATTCTGATCCTGTCCCAGCCCCAAAACAGCCTAGTCCTGAGACTCCACAAGCCCCAAAACAGACTTGCAGGAGAGCAGTGTGGCTCAGGTACCATGGACCAGGAGTTAAAACAGCAGCATGGGGTCCAGGCTCCACCTCTGCCTCTGACCCATGTGTGACAAACTGACCACTTCCTCTCTCTGGTTCTCCGTGTGCTCTGTCCATCTGTGTGGTTTCCAGGAACATCAGCGTTACAGAACAAGGCTGGAAAGACCCTAAGAAGTTTATCTTCCTGCTGAGTCGCCTGGGGAAACTGAGGCCCAAGTACTCCTTTCACCCAGCAACTCACAGACTTTGTCCCCACTTGGTGGTGGTATGGGGACCTGACACTGGTACAAAGGACCTGCCTTAGTACAAAGGGTTCTCCGCAGCATAAGCCATGGGAGAAGCAGGGTGATTATTCCAAGATCTGCCCATCTCCAGCTAGGGCCCCGGACAGTCTTGGTGGATCTTTTACATACGTTACAGTGAAGATTTCATTAACATCTGTCCCCACCAGACTATGAACTGCCTATCTTTGCCTCGATGTTTCTAGAACATAGTAGGTGCTCAAATTAGTGGAAAAACACTTGCCCATCTAATGTGGTATGATTACTCCCATGGTGCAGTTGGGAATGTTAGGGCCATTAGCTACCCAATCCTGAGCTGGTGTTGGAGACAGATCTGAGCCCCCACCTCCCAGTCGTAGCCTCCTTCTTGTTCTTAGCCAGGGTCCTACCTGCGGACGTATTTCTTTTCCAAGTGGATGTTCTTGTAGCCGGGATCCTGGCCTGGACTCAGGCTGGGCCCCAGCATGGCCTCAGCCTTCCTCCGCAGAAAGTTGAGCAGGTCTCCATAGCAACAGTACTCAGTGATGACCAGGACAGGGCCTAGAGAGCCAAGAAAGTGGGGTGGTGAGTGCACCCCTTCACACAGTCCCCATGGGGCGGGGGCAATGAGGCACCCTGGACTGGGACTTAGGAGCTCATCTGGCCAAAGCAGAGGAATCTCAACAACCAAACAAACGAACAACAACAACAAAAGCTATAGCCAAAGCATTCTTCCCTCAAAGGCAATCTGTGGCCGCTCCATAAAGGGCAGAGCTGTTCTAGAAGAGGATGGGGTGGACATGGAGTCCTGACAGGCCCTGGGGCTTCACTCCGGATCCACAGGGCTCAGGCATCTGCACTGTTAGCTCCCTCTCCACCTGACTGACGCCCCCTGGGTCTGAGAGCCACTGCTCAGAGCTCCCCGAGCCACCTGCCTTCACAAGCAGCTCTACCAGCTCAGGTGTCTGGAATTTACAGGACGCCGAGGCAGGGGCCTCACCTTCACGAGGAGGAGGTGGGAAGTGGAAGATGGACTGAGGTGCCCTGAAACCCTCAGACACCGGGGTGGTCCCAAGCCCACGGGCCCCTTGCCCTCCAGGGCCCCTCACCTCCGTGGGTGCAGGCTCCCAGAAGGTTGACTATGTTCTCGTGCTGGCCCAGGTGACTCATGATCTTCAGTTCCGACATGAGGGCCTCCTTCTCATCGGCGTGAGCCGTGGCTGCAAGGAGGGACCACAGGTCCCACAGATGGGGAGAAAGCAGGACACGGAGGGCCACATAGACAGACAGCAGGGGAGCAGGCAGGGGTACCCAGAGCGCCGAAACAATCAGGAGTCAAAAGAGGGAGGAGAGATGCGGACACACAGGTGGGTGTTGGGGGGAGGTGGGGAGAGAGAGAGAGAGGAGAGATGGCCAGTCACTGAGCTGGTCTCAAGTGGCAAAGAGTCAAGCTGTGGCCAGGTCATGGCCCAGGCTGGCCTCTGTGTACCCCAGCCTCTATGTACCCCTGCTTAGAAGCCCCCCACACCCAGGAGTTAAAGGGAGCCTGGAATTTATGAAGGAACCCAGGAGGCTTCACTGCTAACCCCAGGTTCTGTACCCGGGCTCTGACAGGCCAAAAATGAGCGTGATCCCTCTTGTGACAACAGGGCATGCGGCCCTTCGCCTAGCCTGCAGCACCTCCCACCGGCCCCCTAAATTCCCCTGCCCCTCCCCGTCACTCACATTTCAGCATCTTCACAGCCACCTTCAGGACAGCATCTTCCTTGCCCAGACCAAAGGCTGTGGCCTCTACTACCTTCCCAAAGGCGCCAGCTCCAAGGGTCTTACCTGCCGCACACACAGGCTCCTTAGGTCCCTGGGCGCCAAAGGGCCCTTTCTCTAAGGGCCACGGGCTCCCTGAAGCCCCTGCTGCCCTCGAACGGGAGACCCCATCTCACCGAACTGCAGGTTGTTTCGGGGGAACTCCCACTTTTCATTGTAGGGCAGCTGGGTGGGGTCGATGAACGTGTAATTGTTGCCCTCGAAGCTCTCGATGATCTTCCAGCGCACCTGGTACTTGGGCTTCTGCAGAGGGAGAGGGAGGAGGCATGTGGCAGCCAGGCCTGGCAGGTTCTTGGATCTCATTCTGATCCCTGAGGGCAGGGGGAGTGGGTAGTCCCATGGCCTTCGGTGCAAGGAGGCAGCATGGAGCCCAAGATATCTGGTGAGAGCGGCCGCGTCTTCTCGTGCTCATGACTCTGAGAGTCCAGACCCTTCCTGGCTTGGCGTCCCCGTGTGACCATCCCTTCCCCAAACCTCAGCTCCAAGACGTGGACGGGATCTCCTCTGAGGGCCTCGATGGATCTGATAATTTAGGTAATTCCTGAGCTGGGAGGGAGGTTGGAACTCGAGATCCACCCATCCATCCTCTCATCCAAATATTGTTTGTGTGTTGTGTTTTTTCTTAATTTTTAAAAAATATATATTTTATTGATTTTTTTATAGAGACGAAGGAAGAACAATAGAGCTAGAAACATCGATGAGAGAGAAACATCGACCAGCTGCCTCCTGCACACCCCCCACTGCGGATGTGCCTGCAAACCAATATACCAGAATCAAACCTGGGACCTTTCAGTCTGCAGGCCGACGCTCTATCCACTGAGCCAAACCTGTTTCGGCAATATTGTTTTTATTTATTTATTTATTTATTTATTATTTTAAAATATATTTTATTAATTTTTCACAGAGAGGAAGAGAGAGGGATAGAGAGTTAGAAACAACGATGAGAGAGAGTCATCGACCAGCTGCCTCTTGACCGGAATCGAACCTGGGACCTTTCAGTCCGCAGGCCGACGCTCTATCCACTGAACCAAACCGGTTTCGGCTGTTTTTATTTTTTAATCTCAGTAAGATTCACACAACCTGAAATTTATCACCTCGATCACTTTGGAGGGTGCAGTTCACTAGTGTTAAGTACGCACACACTCATGCTGACGTCCAGAACTCTTCATCTCGCAAAACTGAAACTCCACACTCCAAACAACTCAGCCCCGGCCCACACCATTCCTTCCACTGCCTGGGGCTCTGACTTTTCCAGTGCCTCCTGTCAGCGGAACCAAGCAGTATTTGTGCTTGTGTGACACTTAGCACATCTCCAGGGTTCACCATGAACCTTGGGACCGAATGTCCTTCCTTTTTAAATCTGAATAGCGTGTCCTTTCAAAGCCTGCACTGAGCACCCGCTGTGCCAGGCATTGGGACTCAGAATTGAGCAAGACAAGGTGCCTGCACCCACCGAGTCTGCCTGCTAGTGGCTGCGACAGACAATCACTTCCAATAAGCAACTAGACACACAGGGAGTTTTCAGAGTGCTGTGAGGAGAATAAAGCAGGGAAGTGGGGTAGAGAGTGACGGGAAGGCCCCAGGAGCCGAGGAGCCAGCCCAGCCGCGTGACCGTGGGAGGGAGCTCAGTGGACAGACAGGGGTGGGAAGGATCTAGGCAAGTCTGAGTGACAGGCACCTGCCAGGTGCCCATGCATGCGGCTGGAGGGGAGCAGGGGAAGGTTCCAGAGTCAGGAAGGCCTTGAGGTCTGTGGTGAGAGGCTCGGCCTTCAGACAGTGTCTGAAGGACCTGGCCCTTTCTCAGGCTCTTCGTGCTGTGCCGACCACCGGCTGGCATAGGGCTGTTTCTGGGGAGGAGGAGTGGGGGCCTCTCTCTCCTGCCCAGAGTGGCAGCTGCTGGGGCATCATGCCAGGGGCTGCCCATGGGAAGTGCTGATGGAAGACGGCATGGAGGGGGAAAGTGGAAGCTGGCCTGGGGCAGTGGAGGACACGGAGGCCTCGGGTCAGCAGTCCCACTCTTTCCTGTCAGTCCCCTCGGGCCCGGGGCCCAGCTGGCTGTGCTTCCCAGCTGGGCTCCTTCCCGGGCACCCGGCTCGGGAGCTCCAGGGTGAATGAGTGGGGGCTGGGGAGGAGGGGGCCTGTGGCTGTGGGTCTCGCTGGGTTAGAAGCAAGACTCCAGACAGCCACGGGGAAGAACTTAACTTCCGAGGTAGTTTGGAAGAAATGTGCGTTTAGACATAAGGAAGAGCTTCCGGGTTCTGCTGGGGTGGGGGTGGGGTTTGGGGTGGGAGGGAGGAGACCACAGAGGAACTTAGATGCTCCCATGCTGGGACTTGGGAGGAAAGTCTGAAATGGGACAGCGGAGGGACTTATTTTTAGAGAGAGAGAGAGAGAGAGAGAGAGAGAGAGAGAGAGAGAGAGAGAGAGAGAAAGAGAGAGAGAGAGAGAGAGACATCTATTTGTTTATCTACTTATTTATGCATTTATTGGTTGGCTCTTGTATGTGTCCTGACTGGGGAATCGAACCCACAACCTTGGCCATATTGGGTCGACCCTCTAACCAACTGAGCTACTTGGCAGGGCAAGGAGGGACTTTTGAATCTCAGAGGACTCAAACCTTGCACATGGCGCCTTTCCAACCCAAAGACAGTGAGAGAGCTAAGAGGGGGGTGGTCTTTGACCCACTCCCACCCCCTCCCCAGGCCACTTCCATCCCCAGGAGCCTCTGTGGCCAAGGCCTGTTGGTCTCCTCACCACTTCTCCATTTCTCTGTCCCCCGAAGCTGGGCCTGAGTCAGCCCCCTCCCCACCGCTGCCCAGCCAGGCGGGGATCCTGGGGAGGGAGGTGGGGGGGGGGGTGAGGAGAAAGAGGAGGTCTGGCTGGGATCTCAGGTCCCTGGATGCCAGGCTCCACAGCCGGAGGAGAAGGAGGCCCTCCGACCTGTCTCTCGCACCTCCTCACCTCTCATGGAGGCGGGGGGTGAGGGAGAAGGGGGACGCGGCGGCCCCGCTCTGCCCTACACCTGGAAAGGGCTCAGACTCTTCCCAGGGCTTCCACCCCCAGGGGTCTCTCCCCCGAAGGAGAACCCTTACGGGAGGCCAGACTCCCACCAGCCGTGGCGGTCATTGCAGCCGGAGCAGTGCCCACAGCCTCCCCACTAGGCCTGCTGGTTCTGGGCGGGTGGATGTTTTTGGTCTCAGGAAGGTAGAGACCTCGTAATTCCCACAGATACCTAGAGAACCCCCCATTCACCCCAATTTGTCCATTGTCCCCACAGCTCAATTCTGACCCCCAGAATCCCGGCCTCTCCCGCAGCCTCCCCACCCCCTCCGCTCCTCCCTGCCTCCGCCTGTCCTCTGTGCCCGCCTCCCTGCCTGCTGACTCCGGCCTTTCTCTTCCCCCTTAGCCCGCCCACCCTGCGTGCGGTCTCTCTGGGGGCCAGAAAAGCGATGACTCAGCCTGAGGCAGAAACAGCCCTTCCTCCCGACTGCGCCACCCCACCCCCAGCCTGGACAGTGAGGACGGACCAGGCTGAATCCCCAGGGAAGGGGCAAATTGTCAGAACCCCAGGGGGCAAAACAGGAGAACTGGACTGCAGGCCCTGAGACGGGGATGGACCGTCTTGACCCCATGAGGTCTTGTCCCATGGGATGCCCTCCTTGGCCTGGCGTGGGCTCAGGGAGCCGTTTACTTTTCTGGGTGGGAAATGAGCTGACTGGGATTCCGTGTCCCCAAAATGGTCCCACAGAGAGAGGCTAACGTGTCCCTAAGCCATGGTTAAGCCGCGGGGACTGGCAGCCCGCAGCAGGAAGGGCTGGAGGGGAACTGGACACTTCTCTGGAACCTCGGCCGCTGTCCTGGGCCGAGGAGGGTGCTCTGTGGGGCACAGGGAGGCAGTTTCAGTTCCACACGAGGAGGAACTCGGAAGTCAGAGCCGCTCAGACAAGGAACGGGTGGCCACAGAGTGACCTAGGCCCTGCCCCCGGAGGTGGGCGAGCAGGCCCTACACCACCGTGGGTGTGTAGTCAAGGAGATGCCCCACCTCAGACACTCCTCCGATCCCCAGATGCGTGAGCTCATTTGGGCCCCCGGGCCACTTCCTCCTGGGACAAGGGTTTGTAGGAGATAACACTTTTTCCAAGTTCCACAGCCAGAGACACAGGCAGAAGAAGGATTCAGACCCAGATCCGTCCAATTCTTAGCCCAGACCATCAGTAGGCTCATGGGATAGCAGAGGAAGAGGGCTGGTAAAGGCCTCCAGTTCCAAGGTACAGGTGGGGAAACTGAGGCCCGAGAGAGCCGCGAGTCAGCCGCGGTCATATGACAAAACAGTGTCAGAGATGGATCCAGATCTCCAAAGTCTTGACCTGGGGCCCTGGTTTCTCAGGGAGCTCTGCTCTGAGCTGGTGCTGGCATGAAAGCGAAAGCCAAACCCATCGAGAGCCCCCGGGTGCCCCCATGTTTCACCCAGCCTATCCTCTTCACGTCCTCTTCTCACACTGAAAACCCCAAGGTAAGTGTGGGGGAGTGATTCACCCTAGATCATAGCACTGCCTTGTTCAACCCCCTGACGGCCCTGAGCCTACAGGATGAGGTCCAACCCCAACCTGCCCCCAACTGCCTCCTCTTCTAGGTGCCAACATCTCCAGAACTCGCCTCGGGCTTCCCCACCCTTTACACACATTGCCCCCTTCCCCAGAGACACCCCTTTCCCGAGGCTGCCTCTCCTGCTGCTCCCCTCCTCCTCCAGAGCTTCTCCCACCCATGCCCGCCACCTCCTCCGAGCAGTCCCCCCTCCCCACCACCAGGAGATCCCTCCCCTGCCCTCTGGCCTGGCCTCGCAGCACCTGATCACACCGGACCTTTAGTGGAGGGAGGCCAGGTGCTGAGGCCGCAGAGCCAGGGGCTGAGGCCGCAGAGCAATGTTTGGGAGGTGCCTGGAACCCCTCGGGCAGGCAGGTTCTTCAACCTTCCTGAGCCTCGGTTTCCTTATGGTAAAGTGGTGCCTGCGACAGTCCCTGCCTCGGGGTGTTGTGAGGACAAAACCAGTTGACTCACCGTTTCACATCACGGTTACTCACTGGCTTTTCACAGACCAGCCTCTGCCACTGACCAGGCGTCGGCCAGGGCAGCTGTCTCAACCTTTCGGAGCCTCAGCCTCCGACCGTAAAGTGGGGTTAGGGATACTGTCTGTGCGCCGTGGCTGCGGAGGGCACTGAATGAGAGGGCGTAGGTAACACACTTCATAAAAAATGCCCTATTACTGATGGTGCACTCAACGTGACGGGCCGTGCACTAAACGTCAATGTGTGATAAATAGCAGCTCGGAATAATGATGTTAAATAACGAAGAGGCTGATGATGGTGTGGCCTTCCTCCTCCTCTAGACCTCCCGCTGCCGGGGGGTGAGACATGGGCCTGGCCCGTGTGGTCCTCCCGTGTGCCTGAGAGCCCTGGCTGGGACAGGATCCCGTGCTTACCGTATTTTCCGGCGTCTAAGACGACTACTGTGTTCTAGTAAAAAGCCTGCTCAGATTGGCCAGAGTCAGAGAGGCGGTCTATTAAAAAAAGAACTGGTGTTGCCTCGGAAGTGGGGGGTAGTCTTATACAGCGAATATAGGCCTAAACCTATGTTTTAACTGTAAAATTAGGGGGTTGTCTTCTACGCCGGAAAACACGATACTCTTTCCCAGCACCCGTCCCTCTCCCCAGAGCATCTTTTGTCCTCCCTGTTCTGGTGAATCCACTGTCGACCGCACCTTGCACTACACAGTGAACCCCAAGAGGGCAGAGGATCTCAGCACTCAGCCCACACTGGCATAGAGCAAGCACCCACTAAGGAGCTGTAGGCTAAATGACTGGCTGGCAGAATGAGTGGGTGCTCAGGGGCTGACGGGGTGTGGGGGGCCTGGCGGTGCTGCCCCAGGGCCGCGTCCTCGGGGCCTGGCTGCCCGCCCTGCACGGACTCACCTGCTTGTACTTGTACAGGAGCAGCAGGAGCAGCAGCAGCAGCAAGGACATGATGGACATGCAGGCGACCAGCACGGGCGTGAAGAGGGGCGCATCCAGCAGCTGCATGCTGGCTCCTGGGGGGGGGGGAGACAGAGGAGTGAGTGGGCCTCTGTGACCCCCTGACTCCACTGAGAACAGGTGAGTGACTGGCCTGGAACATGGTCGGTTCTCAGAAAATGCTTTGAACGAAGTATCCTCTCAGACCACCCCCAGGCAGGGGCAGGGAGGATGGGCCCCCAGCTCTGCTCATGCCCAGAGTCACAGCCTTTCATTTCTGGGGGAGCCCCTTATCACACAGTACCCACTCCACCCCCCGCCCCCAAGGCAAGGATTTCCTCTGCAGTAGCCTGGCCTAGTGTCTAGCCTTGGCTTGCGCTTGCACACACACACACACACACACACACACACACACACACACACCACCCCTCCCGACAGGATTCACCACCTACACCTCTGGGCAGCTTGAACAGAAAGACCAAGACTTAGACCGAAGTCCACCTTCCTGCTGCTTCCCTGCATGCCCTTTGGAACCACGCCGCCCTCTGAGGGTCTGAAAGCCAGGCTCGTGGCCCCTGGTCTCCTCCTCCCGGGTCAGTAACCCCAGTTCTCTCAATGTTTCGAAAGACGTAATTTCCATCACCTTGCCTGGACCTACAGCATGAGCCTGAAGCCAACTCTCACCTCTGCTATGTAGGCGGGGTGTGACATTGAACTTGTGACTTCTCCCTAAGCCTCAAGTTCATTGTCTCATTTCCTGAGACAATGCCTGCAGAGAACTGAGCACAATGCCTGGCACAGGGAGACGAAGGGCGGCCACAGCCGCTGTGTGAGGCGTTGGCCCTGCTCAGGGGCCAGCTCTGAGCCAGGCAGAGAGGTTCCTGCTCTGTCCTCTCTGGGCCCAGAGAGCTTGCTAGGCCCGACACACGGGTGCTAAGACCTGCTTGTCAGAAGTCCGAGGGTGCTGTGGGCCTCTGCACAGATCGGAGAGCTACCCACATGGAGCCGTTGAGCAACCCAGAGAAGGCGTCCCTTCCTCGCTACAGGGGCAGCCGGGGCTGGACAGCGGACAGCACACGCTCAGGCAGTGGCCCCGGAGGACGGGACAGTGTCTGGCAGGAAGGGGCTCGGGGAGAGATGGAGAAGGCCGCCAAGGCTGGCCTGGGGTGGGCTTGGACTGTGTGCACCTGCCGTTGCCTGTCTCCCTCACCATCAGACTCTCCGCTGCATGGAGGAGGCAGCTCCCCTGCACTCCGTGAGGGTCTGGGACGCAGCAGGTGCCAAATACGCACCCGCAAAGGAATATGTAAGTTCAAGTGCAGGGCATGAGCAGAGGGGCCAGTGAGGGTGTGCTGGCTTCATGCTGCTGTCTCTCTGGACATCGATCTGCTTCCCCTCCCCTCTAGCCCTACCTTCAGTCCTGGGGGTTCTGGACTCCCCATCTGGCTGTTTCAGGAGGGGCCTGGAGTGGGACCCACAGAGGTAGGACTCGGCTCGGCTGGGACGAGCTCCACGCTAGAACTCTGGCTCCCTGAGCCGGGCAGTTTCCGGGGCCCCACTCCGGTCCCACCTGTAGAGGCGGGCGGAGGCTCACCTGCAGAGATGGGCTGGAAGGCGTGGGAGCTGTTCCCCACACTGTTGTGGGCCCTGCACTCGTATGTCCTGTTGTGTTCCAAGGTCCCAATGGCCAGCAGGCTCTGGACAGTCACCTTGTGGAAGGGCTCCTGGCTCACGACCTTGGTGTGTGGGTCCTCGAACACCAGCAGCGCTTGGGCCTCGTCACATCTGGGAGGAGCAGAGTGTGGTTCAGGGGTTCAGGGTGCTCAGCCCCTCATTCCAGGTGAGGAAGGCCAGAGGGGTCCACTTACCTATCAGTATGGCCCCTGCACAGCAGCCATGTCACGTTGGGCTGGGGGTACCCAGAGGCATCACAGAGGATGGCGCCAGAGCCATTGACAGGGCTCCACGAGACCCTCACCTCAGGGGGGGCTGAGGAGGAAAGGAGTGAAAGAGGGAGGAATCAGCCCAGAGCCCCCAAGTCCGGTTGCCTGACCCCTGGCCCTGAGCTTCCTCTCCCAGCGTGTTTCTCCAGGACCTCGTGCCCCTAGCCCCCACTCCATCACTCACACAGAAGGGTGAGCTCGAAGGTCAGAGCATCCTCGCCTCCAGCGTTCCAGGCCAGGAAGGAGTAGCGGCCGGCCTCGGAGGGCTTCAGGCGAGGCAGGGGGAGGGTGAAGGTGTACCTGCAGGAGAGGGGCAGACGTCTGGGTGAGCACAGTGTGGTCCCCACCAGGACAGCGGGCTCAGACAACCACCCTAACAGGCGTTCTTTTATTTTTTGGTGAAGTGTCCAGGCCATAGAAGCCTTGGCTGAGCCAGGAACCCAGGCTGGATGCCAGGAGACATGGGAAAACCATCAACCCGATATTCTTCATTGGCGCTCTTATCTGTAAAGCAGTTTTATTCTGAGGTTAAGTAGAGGAGAGGTCTGCAAAGTGCCGACCCTGGGAGGCACATCCCAGGCCTCACTGAGTATTCCTGCTTCCGCCACCACCACTGGGCTAAGCCGTCGCTACTGAAAACGCTAGCACCAGGCCAGCTGCCATCCCTGAAGCTCCAGTCCTGCCCAGAGGGACTGGGAGCAGAATGAGAAGCAGGATGTATCTGTGGGGCTATAGAGACCAGGGCCAAATCCTGGTGTTGCCAGTTCCCAGCTGTGTGATCTTAGACAAGTACTTAACCTCTCTGATCCTTCTCTTCCTTTTCTGTGAGGCAACACTGATGGAAGTTAATTCACAGACTCGGCCTGAGGATTAAAGGGCTATGTATTCAGAGTGCTTGACACACTGACTCACTTGTATGCACTAAATTTAAACAGCTGATTCCAGGTGATTTTTTTTTTTCTTACTCTCTATTTTAAAATTTATCCATAATAAACATGTATTGTTTAGGCCATGAAAATGTTTTATAAAATAAGTTATAGCAAATTATCAGCTCTTCTTTATCAAATGTCTGCTGCCCCGAACCAAGACTATAATATATTAGAGGCCCGGTGTACAAATTGTGTATGGGTGGGGGTCCCTTGGCCTGGCCAGCAATAGGGGCTCATTGGGGCCATCTCACCCAGTCCTGATCGGCCAATGGGGGCCGGCCAGCCAGCCAGGGAGAGACTATGAGAAGTTAGCCAGCCGGGCAGGGACTGTGAGAAGGCTCCAGGTTATGTCCAGCCCTCTTGCCCAGTCCCGATTGGCCGGACCCAAGCAGCAAACTAACCTACCCTTGGACTGTATGCCCCTTGGTGGTCAGTGCATGCCATAGCAACTGGTTGAGGGGTCAACTGAACAGTCAATCGATTGGTCATACACTTAGGATGTTATGCTTCTAGTATTATTATATAGGGTGGTATTCAAAGTTCTCACCCAGACCTTTGGCTGAACCTCTCTACATGGGTCATTTTTTAAAGTATATATTTTATTGATTTTTCACAGAGAGGAAGGGAAAGGGATAGATAGCCAGAAACATCGATGAGAGAGAATCATCGACCAGCTGCCTCCTGCACACCCCCCACCGGGGATGTGCCCGCAACCAATGTACATACCCTTGACAGGAATCGAACCCGGAACCTTTCAGTCCACAGACTGACGCTCTATCCACTGAGCCAAACAGGTTTCGGCATGGGTCATTTTTTTTTTTTATAACTAATATTTACCTCTTAAACTGAAAAAACTAAACTTCTATGGGTGACTCAAAGTCACCATTAGGAACACACCCATCACATGAGCCTAGCGCCGTGGCTGTTTGGGGCGCAGGCAATGAATGGCCCCAGACCACTGTGTTTCAGGGCTCCCCCTGATTCCTTTCTGCAATGTTCCTATTGCATATGGACCCCTGAAATCTGTCCATAAGCCCCTTTCTCAGGGGTCTTCAGACTCTAGATTCAGAACTTCTGCTTTAGGTGAGAGGAAGCTAGGAATTCTGGCCATAAAGGATAAAGGAACTGGGAGGAAGAAGATGAGGATAAGGAAACATCCTTGTAGATTCTAATGACTAACAAGCAAGAGTCCAGGAGCCAATGAGGTCTGGGCTTCAGGAGCTAGAAAGAACCCCAGAGAGTTTGGGATTAGAAAGGTGTCTACGGGATTCTCTAGCCCACGAATAGCAAACAGGCCTGCTCTCATGAGCCAAATGTGATGGAAATACGGCCTGGAAACTGTTGAGAAGGACCTGAGGTTACATCTAGACTCTGCAGGCAGCGGCTTAGGGACATTTGTCATGAGTATGAAAGGGGATGTTATCACACACACACTGCATACTTGTTGTCCTTGATCGAACTGTACGCTCTCATTCAAATAGATCAGGGTAAAGAAATATTGATTTAACCTTTTTTTTTTTTTAAATCACCAAAGAGTATTAGTGTTCCCCTTACAGAGGAAACACTTGTTTAGAGAGCTATCTGGTTAGACCACTTTGGGTGGGAAAATAAGGCCCAGTGGGAAAACACAGTCCGCAAAGAGATAGGACAAAGAGATTCCTAGAATGCTGTGCATGTGGGAAGAACAGGATTCTTAGAGAAGAGAAGATGCTGTCAAATAGCACTTTATGAGAAGAGTTTGAGCCTGCTGTGAAAAAATTATCAGGGCTGGGAAGCCACAGGCCTTTAAAGAACTTTAGATGTGTCTGTGATTGGGTGGTGTGAATTCCCTCTGCCCCACTCTGAAACTTGTGCATCCCAGCAGTTACCCTGTGCAGTCATTATTAAAAACATACTGAGGAGTGGAAATCACAGGTATTGTCTTCTACATTTGGACCAGTCACAAAGGAGGAGGAGGAAAGAGACTGAGAGTCCTTGCATAACCATGAGAATGCACATCCCCAAGAAATGGTAGAATTCTTGAGGGTATTTCCCCAAAGATGTGGGACAGAGGGGTATGCAAATTTGATTTAAATCTCAAACACAGATAACTGAGATTTAGTTTCTATAGTCAGGGAAAGTGACAGACAGGGGAAGGGACTCACTCCAGGTCGCATAGCAAGGTTGAGACATGACCCAAATGTCCTACTCCTAGCTGAAGTATTCCCCATCCGGCTGTGGGGCTATGCAGATGGGAGCTGTAGTTGGTACCTGTATGTCTCCTTGTTGATGCGAAAATTGAGCTTGGGCTGTTGGTCAGAGAAAGGTCCTCTGTACGTCCAGTTAAAGCCTTGTAGGTCCGGGTAGGCCTCCACTGTGACTTGGAGATTGAGCTCCTCACCCAAGGCCACCTCTTGGAGGAGGTTCTGATTAGAGGTCAAGTTCAAGTAGGCCCTCTCTGGAAAACAGAACACACAGAAATCTGGGATTAGTGGGATGGTGTCCTGGTTCGCTTGTTCATTTACCCATTGATCCAGTCATTCAGCTGGTACTTCCTACGTTCCTACAACATCTCAGGCCCACAGATCCCAACCCTAACCAGTGCTTGCCCTCTGACATCTATCTTCCCACCTCCCACCACCCACCACAGAAGCCCAAGGCTTCAAACTCTTCTCCTCACTGAGTCCCTGGGAAAACTCCTATCATCTCTCCTTATTTGCAAAATTAAGAGTTTGAATATATCTGTGGCTATCACTTTTTGGAGAAAAAAAATTGTAGCAGTAATTCCAAGCTGATGTGGCTCATTGGTTGAACCAAGAGGACATAGTTTGATTCCTGGTCAGGGCATATGACTAGGTTACGGATTCCAACCCTAGTGTGGGCATGCAGGAGGCAGCCAATTAATGATTCTCTTTCATCATTGATGTTTCTATCTCTACCTCTCCCTTTCTCTTTGAAATCAATATATATATATATATATATATATATATGGCTATATATATATTATAGCTATAAAAAAAACTCTGTTTTTATCATATGCCCCCAACCATTTCCCCTTCTGTTAATAATTCAGTCAATGTGGCTTCCATATCTAGCTCTAAAGTGAGCATGTGACTCAAGCCAGCCAATCAGAGTAATGTGTCACCTTTGGACCACTGATTGGTTTGGGGTAGGCATGTGAGTTTATGAATTCATGACACTCATTTTCATGATGTGTGTCTGGACTCTGGGAAAAGATTAGACCTCATTCTACTGGGTTTATCATCCCTGGTGCTTTGGGGGGGGGGGGAGGTTCCACAAAAAAAGTGAGAGTTGGAAAGAAATAGAATCTTGTCCACATCATCTGAACACCTAGACCCAACTGTACCTGAAGTTAATATCCATGGCCTTTTTATTTATTTTTAATTTTTATATATTTTATTGATTTTCTACAAAGAAGAAGGGAGAGAGATAGAGAGCTAGAAACATCGATGAAAGAGAAACACATCAACCAGCTGCCTCCTGCACACTCCTACTGGGGATGTGCCCGCAACCAAGGTACATGCCCTTGACTGGAATCAAACTCGGGACCTTTCAGTCCGGAGGCTGACGCTCTATCCACTGAGCCAAACCGGTTTTGGCTCCATGGCCTTTTTAGCTATAAGGCCTCTAATATACTCTTTTGATTAGGCCCATTTGAGTTGATTTCTGTTACCTGTACCTAAAAGAGCCATAACTAGTTTCCTCTAATTACATCTTGCATAAATTAAAATCAAGCTACTCTGGGAATCTGAGGAAAAAAGGAGAAGCAGAAGAGGGAGGGAGTCCAGAGGCCCGAAGTCCATTCATTGTTGTAGATCACCCTGCACTTCCCCCATGATCACACTGGGTGAGCATTGTCTGTTCACATGTTTATGTTTCATGAGTGTCCCAGGCATAGGTAAGGAGTTTCCAGGGGTGATATTCTGAGCAGTGCCTTCTTCTTCTCTGCCATCAGCTCTCTCCTCAATTCCTGATGTGCCTCCCTCACCCCAGGATCCCTGCTAACCCTCCCCCACCATCCTGATGCTCACCTACCACCCGGAAGACCATGGAAGTGGAGCTGACGCCCTGGGCATTTTTGGCCACACAGGTGTAGTTGCCGGCATCTTTGAAGTCTACATGATCGAGGTTGAGGGTCAAGACTTTATGGTAACGGTCATGATGAAAGTCATTGTGTTCAAAGATTTTGAGCTGCAGCCAGAAGAAATAGAAATAGTATATCAAGGGTGTTTAGGGGTTAGAAAGATTTGAGTTCAAATCCTCATCCTTTAAATATTATTATCTTCCTTTCTTTGGGCAAGGGACTGAATTCTGAGCCTCCGTTTCTTCATGTGTAAAATGGGACTAATACTAGCCCAGCGCTTCCAGGGCTGCAGTGAAGAGGAAATAGATGTTTTGTGCAAATGTCCCAGCCGGACGCACGGTAGGCACAGTGGGATGGGAGGGAGTTCTCAGAAGCAGCCTAATGCCATTTCCCCGTGGAAACATTCCCTTTCCTCCCTCCCTCCCAAAGAAGGTCTTTCTGAAGTAGCTCTTATATCCCTGGGCTTCACAGGTGGCCCAGGAACCCCTTGCTAAGTCAGAAGTGAACCCACACCTGGCTCTTGCCTACAGGCGGGGGCAGAGGTCATGGGTCAAGGGAGTAGTGTACCACCTCCCCTGCCACCCCACAATCCTCAGTGGCATGAGCCGGAGTCCTCGTTTTGGATGATGGCTAGTGACATGCTGGGTGAGTGCACTCCCCTCTCCGGACCTGGCCACATGCTCAGCCCAGAGGGCCAGCTAATGGTGGGGCCGGGCTACATCCTGCAGGGCCTGGTCCTGGGGAGATGGGCAGGCTCCACCCTGCTGTCTCCACCTCTCCCCCCGGGGGGCTGACCGTGGTGTTTCCGCGTCGGAGGAAGACTTCAAACTTGATGTCAACGTTACTGGCTGAGCACACGATCTGGGCGGCCTCTCCTCGGATCCGCACCAGCTCCGCAGGCTCCAGGGTCATGGTCGGGGGTCCTGGGACAACTGAGGCCAGGGGAAGGGACCCGTGAGCATTCAGGCCAGAGCTGTTGCTCTGCTCCCTGCCATGGGCCAGGCTGCTGGCCAGGGCCCCCCCACCCCCCTCGCCACGTTTCCCCTCCAAAATCCTGGGAGGCACCCTTGATGCTTCCATTTCCCTGCCACCAGGTCTTACCTCCTAAAGAGACTTTGAAAAGTCCAGTTCCCTCGTTCACCACCTCTCCCCAGCCTCACCCCCTCTCTGCTTCTGCAGCAGCCACCTGGAAGATCTCCGTCTTTCCCCTCCGACCCCTCTCCCCCAGGACCCTCACAGCAGCCAAAGGGAGCACTTGAGAAGGGAACTTGGGTCGGGCCTTTCTCCTGTGCCAATATTCAGCAGCTTCCTGTCACTCTCAGAGTAAAAGTCAACGTCCTTCCCACATCCCCAGGCTCCGGGCCCTGCTCCTGGCCATCTGACACCCTGCTCTCACACACTAGCCACACTTGCCCTCCCTCCTGGAATGCTCTCTCGCCCACACTCTGAATGGGCACCTGTCCTCACTCTTCAGATCTTTAGCTCAAAAATTCCTCAGAAAGGACTTGTGTGATCAGTTAGCCTCACACCTTTCCCTACCCGCCCTCTACTCCCTCCCCGCACTCCACCCCCCCTCGCATGCACACACAGCCAGCTTTCTCCAGCTGGATTTCTTGTTCATCACGAATGGTATATTATTTACTTTCTCTCGAGTGGGTATCCCCAGCCACTAGCCCAGTGCCTGGCACAAAGTAGGCACTGAATTAATATCTGTTATCTGTGGTTGAAAGTTGATCGGATCCAGTTTCCTAAGAAATCCTACAGGATACATCCAAGGTGTCTGAAGGGGTCATGACAGAACCGGGGTCCAGGGCAGCCCAGGGCTCTGCAAGATGAAGTTTGGGGAAAGCACCCTAATGGCCTCTGTCTGCAGAGTGGGGTCCTTTTACTTCCCGGGCAGGTTTTGTGGCCTTGAGCCCAGAGCCTTGGGCTAGCCATGCTGCTCTGACCCTGAGCCTGGGGCAGCCTTACTCACAGTCCTTCCCGAAACTAGAATCTCGTTCCCCAGTCCAGCAGGGGTGAAGGGGAACAGTGAGCCTGCACCACCACTGCCCCCAGCACCCTTCCCTTTCCCCTGCCCCAGTTCAAGCTGTCCTACCTACTCACCACCACCTCCCCTTCATCACCCCTCATTCCTTCGCCCAGTGCCAGCCTTTGGTTGGCACTGAGTAGGAAGTCCACATCTGAGGGTATAGGAGAGCTTCGGGCCCTCTTTCCATTACTGGAAGCTTCTTCCCACCTCATGACTCTGTGCCTGCTGTTTCCCCTGCTGAGACACACCTTTGAGGGCCACCTCTTTCTCATCAGTCACATTTCTGCTCAAATGAAATGTCACTCTCTCAACAAGGCTCCCCTCCCCTGTCCCCACACACCCGATCCCGTCACCTTGTTCATGGCTTTCCTAGCATGTTCCGTGGACTGAGCCGGTGCTGCCCACTGAGTTAATTACGTACATGTGGTCTGATTCCCGCCCAACACCCCTTGCTTGTCTCGCCCCACCAGGTGACCCCCAGGTGACGGTGGCACAACTGGAAGGAAGACGTGCAAGAAGGACAGTACCCGTATGTCCCATCAGGCCCAGCCCAGCTGCCCCGGGCATGGTGGCCAGCCTCTGCCCCTGCCCTCCGGGCCTGGCCTGTCCCTCCCTGCCCCTCCCTGCCCACACACCTTTCTGCACTTTGAGGCGGATGGCGAGCGATGTTACCGTCCTGCCGGCTACTTGAGCGCTGCATTGGTAATAATGATCCTCGATGAACTTGACCTTGTGGATCGTGAAGCCGTGTCGGGGTGAGAAGGAGTAGTTGGTTTGGCGCAAGACAGGCCGGTTACGGTTCCGCAGCAGCGAGACGCCCGGCTCCAGCGCCGGGTCGGTAAGCAGGCAGGGCAGCACGGCGTCCTGACCCTCAAACACCTCCACTTCCTGGGACAGCACATTCCAGGGCCGCGCGGGGTCTGGGGTACAGCGGGATGCAGCGTTACGACTGCCCTCCCTCTACCAGGCCCAACAGACTCTGGACCTTAGTGCCAAGGAGGCCGGAGACAGGGATCATTAGCCTGTGGTCACCCAACACCAGGGAAGCTCGCTGGTGCTTAGGAGCGGGGGCTTCGGAGCCAAGTCAAGCCCTGCTACTTGCCGCTGTGTGAGCTCCCACACACGTTACTCAGCCCCTCGGAGCCTCTGGAAAGTGGGCATAACGTGGAACCTACCTCTCGGGGCTATTGTGGGGACTACATCGAATTAGAAGCATTGCCACAGGTCCTCGATTGTGGCAGACCCTTGATAAATGCAGAGCTGGTGTCCTATGATTGGCAGCATTAAGGCCCAGCCCTCCTGCCCATTCCTGCTGGGGCTGCTAGGCCGGCCTCTTGGGAACAGGCCCAAGTCCTCACCTGTGACGTAGAGGTGGATGCTGGCGCTGCCCCCTAGGGGGTCTCCGGGCTCCGTGCAGCGATAGGTCCCCGTGTTTTGGAAAGTGGCGTTGTTTGTGGTCAGGATGCTGCTGGGGGCATCTGGGCCCAGAGTCCAGTGCGGGTAGGAGACGGGGCCGGCCCATTCCACGCTGCCATTGCCCACACATCGCAGGGTCACGGTCTCGCCTGGCTTCACAACCAGCTCGGGGACACTGGGTTCTATCACCGGGACCCCTTGAGCTGGTGTAGGGGAGAGAACAGATGGAAGTGAGGCCTCCGGTGACAGCCCCTGGGCTATTCCCTGCCTCTGAGGTGGGTGGTGCCCTGGCAGGGGTGGTGCTGGGGCAGGGGGTCAGCTGTGACTTGCAGGGTCACCTTGAACAAGTCTCTGCCCCTCTGTGGTCATTGCTCAGACCCTGGCCCCGAACCAGCTCAGGATGGACTGATGTCTCTGGCCCCAGCAGGCCCCTCCTCTGAGGAAGAAAGGCTGGAAACTTTCTCGGCCTCTCACCAGCCACTGTCCCTCGGGGGCCCTTAGTCCCTGCCTCGCTCGGACTTCCCAGCTACCACTGCATCGCTCTTCTCCCAGGAGCAGAGTCCTCCCGCCTCCTGAAGGGGGCTGCACACTCAGTGCCCCACCTAGGGCCTGGCTCAAAGCAGGGGCTCAAACAAGGAAAGGAGGCGACCGATGGATGGGAAGTTCATGGCAAAGTCCTCCGACGTAATTCACACGGGGAAGTCGAAGAGGTGTAGGATCGTGGCCCAGCAGAATTTAAAAGGTTTTAGTTCTTCTGTGTGCCCACTCCACCATTGGACGTCTGGTATGCAGCCCAGTGGGATGGTTCAGAGGCTCTGTGCCTCTGTTTCCCTGCCTCTAAATCAAGGACAATAATTGTACCCATGTTTTGGGATGCCGGGAGGTTTAAATGCATAGAAAGCCTTTAGAAGGTCACCCCGTAAGTGCTCAGTACGAGTGAGCCAACCTCTTTTAAGGAAACTTTTTTTGAGGGAGAAAAGAGAACTTGAAACCCGTATCAGGCCCTCCAGGAAGGAGGCCCGTTGCCTCTGCAGTGTCAGCGCTTCTCCAGGGCTGAAAATAGGGGCGGCGGAGGAAGTGAGAGCTGATCTACCAGCCTTGGAGGGGCTGCCAGGCGCCCCGGCCCGCGCCGGCGGAAACACATTGCTGGCGCCCGGCCGGGCCCCCGGTTTCCGCTCCACCTGTGGCCCTTCTCCAGGGGATGCTCTCACTTCTGCTTCCTGACCCTCCTGGCCCCTGACCCCTCTCTGGGCAGAGACTTCCAGGAGAGGCAATGCCACCTGCCGGGCGGCAGACCACCCTGGGCTTTGGGCCTGGCTCTGCTGCGGACCCACTAGGTGCCCCTGGTGAGAGCAACAGCTGGGCTCTGATGGTGGGAAGCCAGATGCTTCAGCCCTGAGGACATTCAGGGCATCTCCACTGTCCTTCCCACAAGCATCTTAAATGGATCTGTCCAGCTCATCCCTGCCATCAGTCCCAGAGTTAGAAGTTCCTTCTCTGCCAAAGATTGCAGAAGGCCCTGGCCCTGGTCAGTGTGGCCCAGTGGGTTGGAACCAAAAGGTGACAGGCATGATTCTCAATCAGGACACATACTGGGTTGGGGCATGTGTGGGAGGCAACTGATTGATGTTTCTCTCTCTCCCTCTCCCTCCCTCTCTCTAAAATCAATGAAAAGCCTATTTTCAGGTGAGGACTTTGAAAAATGACTCTGGGAGGTTTAATTTATATTTTGAGTTTGTACCCATCAGAAGGCGGGCAGCCTCCCTGTCCGAGATTCTCCCCCACCACCCAAATATATTTTTATTGATTTAGAGAGGAAGGTAGAGGAAGAGAGAGACAAAAACATCAATGATGAGAGAGAATCACTGATTGGCTGCCTCCTGTACATCCCCTTCTGGGGATCGAGCCTGCAACCCAGGCATGTGCCCCTGACCAGAATCGAACCCAGGACCTTTCAGACTGCAGGTCGACGCTCTACCCACTGAGTCAAAGCGGGTTGGGCCTGCCAGAGCTTCTGATCAACACAAGGGGTTGAGGAACTGGTGGATACTGCCAGGGCCAATATGGGGTGGGGGTGGGGGGCAGCCCTCCTGTGCCATGTGACCAGTGCGGGGAGGGCAGCAGAGTCACTCTGGCAGGCTGTCCGCTAAGCCCCACAGAGCTGGCGCTGCCCTGGTGCAGCTGCAGCCACGCAGGTCCCAGGCTGGCAGCTTCTTGCAGGGAAGAGCTTGGACTGTGGGTTACACGGTGTGCATTGGAAACTTGGTTCTTCCTCACAGGCTGGGTATGTGCCATCCCCCATCTGGCCCTTGGGCCACCCTGTCCCCTGGGACAATTCAGGCCCCCGTCCTCTGGGACAATTCAGTGAGCTACAGCTCCTGTCCCAGTGTTGCCTCAATTGCTGCATTTCTAACCTCCCTTCTGGTCTTGACACTCTGATGTCTCAAGTTTTCAACCTTTAAAGGCCAGAGTCAGACTAATCTGTGATTTCGTCACGTCTCACAGGCGCCTCCTCCCTCTCCCTCTCCCCGGCTGTGTCCCGCTAACCTAGCAGGTGCCTTGGTCTCCTGGAGATGCGGCCAGGCAGAGGCACCGTCCTGTTTTGTCCTGCCCTGTTGCCCTGGATGTTCATGCAGGAAAGGGCTGACATCCCACGCTTTGCCCCCTCCCCAGTTTTCCTCCCGCTGGCTTAGCTGGGAAAGGAAGGCCTGCTCAGGCCCCGTCCTCCAGAGTGAACGCTGATCGAGGCCCCTTCTACACCTGACCAGGCTTCACCCTCTTTCCCCAGCTTCTCCGTCCTCCCCATGCCCCAAACGTCCCTTCCTCCCACTTATTTGAAGGACCCTCCCATCATCAGCTCTCTCAACCTCACTCCTATCCCTAACACACACACACACACACACACACACACACACACCAAAACAACAACAAAACAAAACAAAACACGTACACACTACACACCAAGGCCTGGGACACCATCCCTAGCCCAGCAAGCCTCTCCCCATCTAGGGTGCTCTGACCCCGTCCCCCGACTCGCTCGCAGTAGCACCCCAGAGCCTTGCTCACTTGCCTCTTCAGTCTCCTTCTGACCCTTTTACCCAAGCCTCTCAAAGAAGGACCCCTGCCTCTTCAAGCCTTTCCAACTCAGGCCCTGCCTACAGCCAGTGAGCACAGGCCTGCAGAGCTGGCAGAGCCCTCAGGGCTCTGCGGGGCCTCCCGCTCATGGTAGGTCTGGCCCAGCAGCACTGGCATCTCCTCGGAGCTTGGTAGAAATGCCATCTCAGGCAGCACCAGAGACCTACGGAGCCATTTCTGTGCCGTAACAAGATTCCCGGACGATCTGTATGCACAGTGACGTTTGAAACGCTTTGTTTCAGTCTAGTCCGTCACCACCCCCCGACACCTGCCATCCAATAGGTGTGGACACCGAAGACCTGAGAGCATCAGGGGCTTGCTCGGGTCACACAGCAAGTCAACATCTGCGCTGGGACTGATCCACAGCCCTGGCCAGGCTGCTTCCGCCCCTTCAGCACCTTTCCAAGGCAAATAACCCCAAACCTGCAGCCCAGGCTGGGGAGATGGAAGCACAGAGCGGGTACACCCAGTGAGGGGCAGGGGTTCGAGTCTTCCCTCAGGAACCTCTCTGTCACAGCCCCCACCCCCGACCCAGGGCCCTCAGTTCTGCACTTACCAGGCCAAGTTGTGGCCGCCAACAGGACCAGCAGAGGCCCCGGGCCCATGGCTTCTGCAGGGAGGCGGCAGGCTGGCGCAGGGCTGGGGTGTGCGGGCCCTGGGCTCCCGGCTGCTAGCGCTGCAGGGACCAGGAACACTGGCTGGACACGTTCCTCTCACGCACCAGCTATTTGTCTAGCTTCCCTCTTCTTTCTCCTCCTCCTCCTCCTGGGCTCATCCTTTTCTTCCCCTTTTAGCAGGCTAGGCGACCACAGAGTTTGGAAATCTTGGGTCTTTAGAAGAAAACAAAGCCATGACCCCCGGGGGGAGGGGTTGGAGTCTGGGGCAGGGCCAGCCGGAGTCTGAGTTTGCTGGCGAAGGTTGGTGCCCTCTGAAGTCACCTTCAAAGGGCCCTGATGGAGGAGGTACAACCCAAGGTCAAGCAGTCAGCTGGTCAGTAGCACAGATACGTGTTTCCAGGGTGACCAGGCGGCTCTGGCTGAAACAGAAGGGAAACTGGGTTGGTTTGGGAGAAACTGACAACAGCAGCAAGAAGCTTCCATTTGCTAGATAGTCAGCCAAGCCCTTTACAGTCATGACCTCCTTTGGTCCCCACAAGAACTCTGTGTGGTCGGTACCATTATCATTCCCATTTCACAGATGGAAAAACAGGTGCAGAGAGACCAAACACTTGAAACTTGCTGTGATTACACAATTCCAAATGGTGGACGCGGGATTTGGATCCAAGGCAGCCTGGTTGTAGAACTGCCTTTTCATGGATGCATAAAGTTACTTATTTTAACAAGGAGCCTAATTGTGCTGCTCTATTTCTTAGGAAAAAATAGCATTCCTTGGCCCTTCCCTTTCCTGGAGACAATTGCTTTTATTCCTTTTAGTTGATTGCTTAGTATTTCCTTTCCTATTTCTAAATAACACGGTTGTAAAGTTATTTCCTAAAACTAAAAATCCCAATATAACATTAACTCAGGAAAATGATTATTCTTTCCATGTACTGAAATTATATGTAATGTATTTTATATATACTTTTTTTTTTTCAAGACTGCAGCTTTGGGACTGGGCCAAAGCCGTCAGTTGAACACCCCTCGAGTGTTCCCAGACTGTGAGAGGGCCCAGCTGGGCTGAGGTACCCCTCCTCCCCCAGTATGAATTTTTGTGCATCAGGCCTCTAGTCTATCAGAAAAACCTACCTACTAGAGCTAATAAACAAATTCAGCAAAATTGCAGGATACAATATCAACACACACACACACACACACACACACACAAAAAAAAACCCCACATGGTATTTACACTAGCAATGAGCAATCAAAAAAATTTTTAATATATTTTATTTGCCATAACATCTAAATGAATAAAATACTTGGGAATAAGTTTAACCAAACAGAAGTAAGATATATACACTGAACACTCAAAACACTGCTGAGAGAAATGAAAAAGACTAAATAATGGAAAGACATTTTATATTCATGGATTGGAATCTTTAATATTATAAAGATGGCATATTCCCCAAAGTACTCTACAGAGTCAATGTAATCCTAATGGCCTTTTAAAAAAAAAATTTTTGAAAATGGAAAAGCTGATTATCAAATACACATAAAATTTCAGGAGACCCCAAATAAGCAAATCAATCTTGAAAAAGAACAAAATTGGAGTCACACTTCCCAATTTTAAAATTCACTACAAAACTACAGAAATCAAAAGGGTGTGGTATCAGCATAAGGATAGATGTATAGAATCATCAAAATAAAATTGAAAGTCCAGAAATATCTATGGTTAATTGATTTCATATCTATGGTTAATTGATTTCAACAAGGATGCCAAGACCATTCCATGTAAAAGAACCATCTTTTCAACAAATGGAGTTAAAAGGTTCTGGTCAAGACAGTGGAGTGATGAACACTGTACTCACCTCCTCCCAGAACCACACCGAAATCACAACTAGATTACAGAACAATCCCCTGAATGACTATCTGGAGACTACCTGAGCAGAAGTCCTATAACTTTCAAGGATATAAAGAAGCCAGATAGAGACTGGTAGGGCGGCAGCTGAGACAAACTGGCCCTACAGTTGAGAATCTGAAGGGGTATCTCAGCTGCAGTGGTCCCTCCTTAGAAGCAAGAGGACTCAGCCCCAAGCCCGGCTCTCCACCTTGGAACACCAGTGCCAGGAAGAGGAGCCCACATAACACCTGGCTGTGAAAGTCAGAGATATGTCACCTGTCCCAGTAAAGGTGGGAACTCAGGCATCTACTTAAAAGGCCATTGTACACATCCTCACTTGCAGGCACTCACCTGGGGCTCCAGCAGAGAAATAGTGGCTCCAGGGGCACCAGAGACATGGAGGGGGACCTGAGATGTATGGCTTCAGCGTGAGGCAGGAGGGATAACCACTGTTTTCCTGTGCGGAGCCCTCCCTCCGTCCGTATGACCCAATCTGAAACCTGTCACTACTCCTGCATGACCCAAGGCTCTTCCAGTGACAATCAGTCTGGGCCTGTGTTGCCGTAGTTCTTAAAACTCTCAAGGAATTTCCGCAATCTTTTTTAAAAATCTCAAGGAATTTTGGTCAAGCGTGGAGGTTCCAGAAACATACAGGGGGAAACTGAGTTGTGTGACTTTAGGGCAAGAGCAGGAGGGACAAGTTCCATTGTCCCTGTGTGGAGCCCACGTAACACCTGGCTGTGAAAGTCAGAGATATGTCACCTGTCCCAGTAAGGTGGGAGCCCTCCTCCCATACATTCCATCTGATTCTGCATTAGCCTGGCGAGCTCCCCTCACTCCACCCTCATGGCTCCCTGAGATACTGACCCCTTCCCTGCAGGCCCTACGCTGGTATACTCCCAGACCTTTGCTGGGTGGCCTCCAGCTCAGGACCGGGGCCAAATTTAAATCTGTATCAACCTTGTAAACACCACTTACCCCACCCTGGCAACTCCCTGAGATGTTGCCTCACTCAGCTTGTGTAACACATTATACTCTTCAGACAGCTGAGTTTTGCCGGCAGCTGGCCGGTCGCGACAGTTCTCAGAGTGCCTTGGGCCTTTTGGTGACCTGCTGCGGGCCCAGTCCTGGTGGCAGCCAGCCTCGGTTCACTTGGTTCGCATGGCCTCTTCCATGGATATCCAAGCCCAGCACAGGCAGTGACCAGCCATGATGGCTTTGTAGCTCCTAGCAGGTGGCCCCAAACCAGTCACAGGCAGTATATCACACTGAACTGCAATGGAGCCCCGCAAGAGTCCCCCCAAAACCAACACATCTGGTGGCCAGCTTCAGACCACCATAGAGCCCCACCTGGCCAGCTCCACAAGTAGCACACCCACAGGGTAGTTAGTCTCAGCTGGCACCAGACCCTGCCATGGTGAGTCCCTCTCCATGGGGTCTGCGCCCCTACAGAGACCAGTCCTCATAGCCAGTCAGCCTGAGAGTCAGTCCCACTCACCGATGTGACAACAGCAACCAAAGGTCAACTACAATGGAGGGCAAACGCCACTCATACAAGAGACACTTCTGGAGCACACAGCTCAGGTGATCAAGGTGACTGTGTCACTGGGGCCCACGAGATAACTACTACATAAGGCCACCCAGCCAAGACAGGGAGACATAGCAGATCTCCCTAATACATAGAAACAAAGAAAGAGAGGCAGCCAAATTGGGGAGAGAGAGAAACATATCCCAAATGAAAGAGCAGGAGAAAGCTCCGGGAAAGAATACTCCATTTAACAACTGCAGAATACACATTCTTATTAAGGACACATGGACATTCACTAAGATAGACCATTTCTGGGCCAACCCAAAAAACATAAAAAGTTTAAATAACTAAATTATACAAAGTATTTCTTGTACCATAGTAGAAATTATTGACAGAAAGATATCTGAAAAATATCAAATATTTGGAAATTGAACAAACAATAAACTTATAAACTTTGAGTCAAAGAGGATATAACAGGGTAAATTGGAAAATATTTTAAATTGAATGAAAAAGTAATCATCTGAGTTTTATTTGAAGAAACTAGAAAAGTAAATAACAAATTAAGCCCAAAGCAACTAGAAGAAAAGAAATAAAGATAAGAGCAGAAATCAGTGAAATCCAGAACAAAAAGAGAAACCAAAAACAAAACAAAACAAACACACACACACACACACACACACACCCACACACACACACAAAACAACCAAACAAAAACTAAAACGTTTTTCATTGGAAAAAAAAAATTAGAAAATATCTAAGAAAAAAATTAAAAGACACAAATTACAAATACCGAGAATGAAAGAATTGACCTCACTACTGTTAGGTCTGATCAAATAACTGAGTCCAAATAATGGAATCGATATCCCCTCCCCTGGGAACTGACCTTTAGAACACTTCACACTGACATTCCCTTTCGCTTAGACCACATTCCACTTGCTCAGACCATTATCTACCCCCTGCAGACCCGCCCAGGGAATTCTCTGCCCAGAAAAAGCCCATCCTTTAAAATCTCTGACTCCCTGTGCCTGGGTGCTGCTGCCCAGTTTGGAGCTCAGCCACCTGATTTTTCAGATGACCTAATAAATTCATAATTCTTTACCCCTTTTGGCCTCGTGTATTTCTCCTTCTGTGACCCTGACAACTACCAAACCTACTGACATTAAAAGAATAATAAGGAAATACTATGAAGAACTCTAGCCCAGTTAATTCAACAAGTTTGATAAAATGGACAAATCCCTTGAAAGATACAGATTGCCAAAGCTCACTCAAGAAGAAACAGATAACATGAATAGTCCTATATTTATCAAAGAAATAAAAGTTATAATTAAAAAGCGTCTAACAAAAATAACCCCATAAAATTCCAGGCCCAGTGATTTTGCTGGTGAAGTTTACCAAATAGCTAAAAAAAGAAAGAATACCAATTCTACACAAACTCTTTTAGGATGCAGCAGCAAACACCATTCTATAGTACTATTTGCTTTCACATCCCTACCCCCACCCCCACCCCACCCCCTTTTTTTTTTGACATGAATGCTCACTGTAAGATACTCATATACAAATAGGATCTAGGCCCCCAAA